AAGTAAAATATAATTTTAAAATAAATGAAAAAAATTTCTTTAACATACAAACAAATATTCAAGTGCCTTTTAAAGATATGACATCCAGGAATAACTTATTTGTCAAGTAAAGACTTTCATCTTAAATCCATTTTCAAATACCTCATACTTTCTCCAGGCATCAGAGTTCATCTCAGATGTGTCATTCAATATTTAAAACAGAAGCCACTCACCATGGATTCCCTTCTGAGATCAGAAGTACATCTTGGACACCTTATCCTGGTCCATCTGGTTCAGCTTGGGATGGCTCTTCTCCTTGGCATAGATGATGTATTTCTTCAAAAGGTCCTGTGGGATCTTCTCCAAGCCAGACTCATCCAGTTGGTTCTATAGAGTAAAGAGTGTATTATTTCAGGACATTTCAGGGATACCTCACATACTACTGGTTCATCATAACAATGACTGTGCACCATTTTTCTCTTAAAATATGACTGACTGATGTGGTTAATTATTAATTCATTCACTCATTAAAACAAGCATCAGATATGAAGCTGAGAGGATAGTTAGGTGAAGATTAAACCCAAGACTTATAAACCTGCCATCAATGCTCACCATATCAGCAATGGCATCTCCGCCTTCCCCTGCAGTGACATTCGGGTGATGCTTGACATGGCTGCCAACAACAAACTTGGCCAATTTCTCGTCCTGCACAGGGTCCACTGTGTCTCTTACTACACACAAGATGTCAAAACGGGACAAGATGGGCTCGGACAGGTCAACCTAGAGACATAATAGGCTTGAATGTGAAATAAATACCAGAACTATGTGAGACTGTGATTAACTGTAAATACATTTGAATGCAAATATAAAATCTTTCGGGAGAAAATACTTTTCAATGGCATCATTGAGTTACAATTGAAAAGGCACCATGAACACATTAATATTTTTGGTCTTAATAGGATAACAAGGTAGGTCATTAAAAATGTTCTTTTTGCACGAGATCTTACATTTTCTGAGAACGTCAGCGAGGGGTCATAGCGTCCACCAATGGGATTGGAGGCAGCAATCACTGCGCACCTGGCCTGCAGGGATGTGACAATGCCCGCCTTTGAGATGGAGATACTCTGTTGTTCCATAGCCTCGTGTATACTGGTCCTGTCTGCATCATTCATCTGGGGGGAAAATCATTGTGATAACTTAATGTAGAGTGTTTTAGAGGAGATTTGAAGTCTGTTAAGAAAGATGGTCTCAGTGTTCACTAAACTTTTCATTAAAATTTTTCTTGTTCATTTAAGTCAAGAAATTGCCCTACATCACTATCAAAATTAGCAAATTAAAGCTTTTACAGGACTCCTCATAGTTCTCAGAGTTGTGAATGAAACAGATCCCTTCTTTAGCTATACCAATTGCAGCAACCACAACAACATGACCAGCCATGCACATTCAAGCACATCAAATATGCCCAATGTATTACTTATCTATGATTTCCTGACGTACCTTATCAAACTCATCAATTAGACAGACCCCTTTGTCCGCCAGTACCAGGGCACCTGCCTCCAGTGTCCACTCCCTGGTCACTGGGTGGCGCTGGACATAGGCGGTCAAACCTACGGCCGATGCCCCCTGACCAGTAGTGAAGACGCAGCGTGGGGCGGCCTTCTCCACGTATTTCAGAAACTGTGATTTGGCTGTTCCCGGATCTCCACAGCACAACACGTTGATGTCACCACGGACCTTGTGTTTGCCACCTGGAAGATAACGAAGAAATTATTACACTTTACTTGTACTACACTAGACATACTTTGGTCGAAAATGATCAGGACTGTAGAACCCAAGATGGCGATGTCATTGTATGCCTGTGTTTTGAACTTAAGTCTCTTTGGAAATTTTACTACACACCTAATATGGAGATGGATTTGACATTATTATTCATCACCAACAATTGCAGCACCTGTATCTAAACAATGGCATTTCCACTTGTTGATGTAGATAATTTTTTTCCCATAACATATTTGCTTGAACATTTTAATATGTTGTTCTGATAACTGAAATTTGTCTTCAAGACAGTGTTTTAACATCTAGTGAATGGTATAAATTACCAGGATTCTTAGGTTCTCCTCCAAACATGGACAGTGCAATGGATCTCTTGATATCCTCGTGCCCGTAGATAGATGGCGCTATGCTGGCAAATATCTGAAATAGCCAGTCATAACAGTCAAAAGCAGAAGAGAGATGATACTTGCAATACGCAATATGTGAACACAATAAAAATATGCAACATCACAATGAAAATTCAAACAAATAAATTATAATATTCAAGTCTGAAAAGCAAATGAAAACAAAAAAAATCTTTCTAGTGACAGTGATTTCTCACCCTTTCTCCTATCCGTTGGTCTTTCGACAGAGCCACAATGGCCTTGATGTCCTCGTCTGTGAGAGCTCCCACCACCATCTTGTCATCTTTCTTTGTGATGAAGTTTGCCTGGATAACTGTGGCAAATACTGGGAATCCATTGGCTGTGTTCAACGAGCCGTCGTAATTGTTGTTGTATATACCAGTAAGTTCCTATAGTTGCAGAAAATAAAATCGTTTCAGTATAACCAAAGGGATTTTATTTTTTGTTCATCTAGAAATATAACAAATGTGAATATTTGAAATTGTTCCAAATAACTTCAAAGCTGCACTTTTCAACTTATACCTATCAATAAATCTCTCTTGAAAGACATGAAAAAATTAGGAGATTTTCCAGTAATATTCAAAATTGTTTTCATACATCAATGCCTAAGACTCATTTAACTTCATTTTGTTGCAGATAGATGGCACCACTTACAATTTCATCTCCAGGTTTACATGTGTCCACCAAATCATCCAAGAGGATTGCATCTTTGGACCTTGGCAGACGACCTGGTGGCACCTTGCCAGGGCTCTCCTGTATTGTGATTCGCTGGTAGTTTTTGTAAATTGTCTGAAAAAAATTGAGACAGCTGAGATGAGAAAGCTTTAAATACACAACAACAAATAAGAAAGTTTTAAGTAAATTAAATAGATAATATCATTATTTTCATAGGTTGCACATATTTGAAACATGCACATTTACAGAAAGCTGCCATAAATTGTGAAACAAAATAGCAGTACCAAAATGCATGTTCAGGAATAAAACCTACTTTTGAAACGAAAATGTATGATGAATGCTAAATCACAGTTAACAAAAATATTAAGTGCAATCTCCTACAAAGAGTAAAGGAAGACCTCTTATATGACTTACAATATACGATATCTTGCTGACAAATTCACCACACATTTTAAAAGCCTACACATACCTGTTCCATATTGATCTCAAATGGCCCACTGCTCTGACATTCTGGGCAGGAGCCAGGTTTCACCTCCTGGTTCTGAGACTGATAGTAAGGGCCCAGGATGAAGTTACACTTATTACAGTCGTACTTGATCATGGCCAGTTGTGGGAGGACGCCGGTGGTGCTGGTGACGACACCGCTGGTCCTGATCAGCTGGTTCAGGTGAAGCTGTCTGAAATTTGAATTACACTAAAAATTAATTTGCATTCTACAGCATATGCAAACAGTGTTTTAATAATGAAATATTAAATTTTAAATAGGTCTTTTCAAAATTTAAATATAAAGTCATGACTGTAGGTTCATACCTTTCAATCTTAATATATTGAAATATAATTTCAATACAGTTATTAAGTGGGAGTTTTCCTTTGGCTTTTCTAGATCTGACATCACAACAGAACTAAATCTATTCTTATATTAGAATTATATAGTAAACTTGGCTAGAAATTCAATGTGTTATGTGAGACAAGAACAATCACCTCAATGTCCTGAGCTCCTCCACTAGAGGCAGGTCAGAAATTCTCACATGAATCTCCTTCACTATCTTTTCATAATTTGGGTACATGGTTAGCACAACCTCTTTGGCAGCCTTGGAGAAAATAAATAATAATGTACAATGTGTAGTCACCTTACAGTTTATTTAAAATAAAGATTTGGTAATTCAATCAATTTTGTGAGGATTAGAAACTCCAGCAACAGGTTTATTGACTTAATTCCTCCAAGATCATCAGTTTCATACTATTTAGGGCAAAAACCAAGGTTAGGAATAGACTGTGCTTAAAAAGAAGGAAAAAATCTACTTAATTTCTCTGCCAAGTTTTAAACATTTCATGCCAATCCAATTTTCTGCAGTTTCATTCATGCACAAAAAGAAAAGAAAAAATATGAGAAACTCCAAACAATGGTAAACAAAACATAACTTTACCTCATCAAAGATCTTCAGCATTTCTGTGGGAGCTTCTGGCAGGAAGAAAGCAAGCACCTGTTCCTCACTGGCCAAATGGTTGTAGTCAACCACCAGACTTTCCTTGTTGCCTAAATAAATAAATATTATTTTTATACATTTTAATTAATCAAAAGGAAGATGTACTGGTGCACACAAGTGGATGTAGATAGCTGGTTGTAACAAACAATATGTAAGGTCTGTTGTAACATATAATGAACATACATTATCTACACAGTACAAAAATTGCCAACTTCATCTGACACTTAAATATAAAATAACAAGCTATTTAGGGATCTAAAATCAAAAGCCTTTTAGTAACCTAAATATCTTTCTTTTAATTTAAACTATGCATTTTTTTTACCTTCAACCATTTGCCTTATCTTCTCCCTAAAAACATTGTGACCCTTCTCATCCACAAATGTCCTGAGGAAATTCTTAAACCTGTTCTTGATTTCTGTACGGGGAGCAAGCATGGAAACCCACTCCCTTACACTATGTCCCTTCATGTCCTCCAGGTTTTCTATACTCTCTATCATCTAAAATAAAAATAAAATTACAAATACGAATTGTGATGGATTTTGACAAATTTTACTGGTGTACCAGCATTAGTTGTTCCACTCCAAATTGCTACACTCTACATTTTCTTTCATATCAAATATCTAATTATAAGTCAGGAAATATAATGGATGAAAAATTATGTGCAGTTTAAGTGCCAATTTTTTTGTAAAATGAGAAAAAGTTTATAAAGATTGTTGAAGTGCTTTATGTAAAACACTGGCCAAAAGCCAGTGACACTCAAATTTTGTGTATTTGTTTTGTTACAGGCCATCAGTTTCTTTATCCTAAAGTAACCTCTTTTTGTGAATGCTGTCTTAAGATATATGTTAGGCTTCCCAATATGTTTCCCTACCTCTTCATCTTCCCCCATACCCTCAGCAGCTCTTTCTGCCAAACGCCGCCGCCTGGACGGACGCTCCTCTTCTTCCTCATCTGATTCTTCTAAAAAGGCAAAAATATGGAAAAAGTGCATTAATCCATTTCAACTCACCATTAAAAGGAGTACTTTCCCCTCAAAGCTTAAGATGAATATCACCACACCATGCTTTTTTTCATGTAGAATAATGACAAACATAAATGACTTCCATGAATGAACTCCGGTTTTGTCAGGTAAAGCACCTCACAAACATTTTTTGAAAAAAAAAAAAAAAAAAAAAAATGCCTTGACTTAGGCTGTATTTCCAGAGCTTTTAGATCGATCTATCCCCACGGGGAGTCTCACTAGATTACTGTCAGATAATCCGGCTTAAATGTCCGTCCCGCCTACTACAAGCTGTAAGGGGGTAATTAACTTTCGTGTCCGCCCGGCTGACAGCTTTTGAGCGTGAACCTAAAGTAGATCGATGTAATCTCTGGAAATGGGGTCTTAGTCTTCCCTTTGATCTCCTATATTTCATGTAAAGCTCTGTAACCCATAATTAAACAATTATGTTTGAACTGTAATATCTTATGTGACATTCTTTAATTCTTTATCAGCAATAAAAACCAAACATGTCCAAGCAGACTTACCATACAGCAGCCCTCTCCTCATACGTCCACTGGCCAGGCCTTGCTCTCTGTCCCTCTTCCTCATCTCCCTCTCTGCGGCCATCCTGTCCCCCTGAGACAGGTCACTGTATTCTCCCTCGTCCATCCCTTCTGACCCATACTTGTCCAGGGCAGGGATGGCACGGTAATCCCTGGAGAAAATGAAATATTGAGATTAAATAGCAGGCTCAATGTTGTTTAGTGTGAAAATGTATATGGTGAAGACACAAACACATACATAGACAAACACACACACAAACACGCCTGAAACCAAAATCCATTACAAAAATGATCCCCTTTTTATTTTAAACTCTCACCTTTCCAAATTATCCCCAAATAATTCTTCTCCATCTTCTTCTTCATTCTGAATCTCATCCTCCTCCCGTGTCTCGCCCAAGAGCTCAGACTCGTCTTCAAATGGGGGAAGGTCACGACCTGGGCTGGAGGTCACAGGGTCACCTCTGCTGCTCCTTCGAGAACGCCTTGATGCCCTGGATGGGCTGGTGGCAGCACTGAAGGGGTCGGAAGAAGAGGTCTCATCCTGGAATGAATTAAAATGTAGATATTGATATATTCTGCACAGTACAGTGACATATGTGTTATAAATATGAACAGGAAAAAAATGACCCATGGACAGAAACAAAAGGACAACGGAGGGGATCCAGTTAACCATCTGCAAAAGTCTGCATGGGGAATGGGATTAATCTGTGGCCTTAACGCAATCTTTATTACTGTTAAGTGGTGTTTGCTAATGAATATATGTTAATGGCTGTGAAAAGGAACAGTAATTTTAACACACCCTTAATTATTTTAGTAACAGGTTGAAAATCGGGGGGGGGGGGGGGGGGGGACCCTTTCACAATCTTTTTTTACCTGGCTGTGGCCCCGATGCAGAAACCTTATAACCTTTCTTATGATAGGTGTCAGTGGAAGTACGATATAATATTGAACACAGCTATTAATTGCGGTAGTGATATGAACGAATCATTGAGATTTTACTTGTATTCTAGTTAAATTATACTCCGCCTCGCATCTAACAGATTATTTATAGCTGATGCTGGCTAGATCGCTGCGAATGCTGATGCATAAGTAGTGATATAAACATACTCATTTGAAGCCATTTTTAAATACCCAGATCCACATGGACATCGACATGAAGTTTGAAACGATATTTCAAATAAAAGGCATTTAATCATCATGACATAGTTGCTAAATGGTGCCTCCGATCCACACACTTATCATCATAGCCGAAGAGTACAAAAATATCGAAATATTCTGGTCTAACACAGGAGTAAAACTTACCGCCATTGTGTATGTTTTCTTCTTTGATCAACGTGATCGTAAAGCGCGGGAAAGGGAGGTCAAATATGGGGTCAATTTCTGGATAGTGCAGGCTAATAATATAGGTCTCGGGTATTGTATTAAAAAATTAGAGCGAGCAGTTGGAAATCGGAGACGATAAGCCGGAATATCAATGCTAACGTGTTGAAATTTAATACCATATATATTATCAAGTGTTAATGTCTTGAAATAACGGTTAAGTGTCTCCCGCCACTATGAGGGCCGTTTTACCACGGCCTTCACGGTATTGATGCGCGAGCTATTGATACGGTCGAAGGTTGACTGTGGCTCCGCTCGTGTAAAGATTTTTGTTACTTAAATTAGAATTTTTACCCCTTATTCTTGTAAAAAATATTCATTGGTTTTAGAAATTTATTCCAGTGAGTTTTGATGTTACGTGCAATTTGAAATGATGATAAACTGTATATTTAATTGGCACTCGGTGAGAGACAAAAGGTCCAACTCGTAGGTGACCGTTTGTATTATTATAACTTATAGTGTGACAGTGGAAGACTTTCTCCAGATAATAACCTGTGTACAGACTGGAAACGTATAATCTAACCCTCCTATTGCAAAATTTATTTTTTAAGAATTGGGTGCACGTTGTTTTGTTGCCTTTTATTGTTTTGTCGATGCAGGGACTGCAGTTCCTGATATTACCAAAAGGGATAGAAAAAGTTTCAATTCCGACGCCGGGAATCGAACCCGGGCCACCTGGGTGAGAGCCAGATATCCTAACCACTAGACCACGTCGGATTGTTAAAACGGTTGGCCGATTTTAGTAATATAAACAAAACTTATATAAATGATCAAAATGAGGGTTAATAGTTCTTATAAAATTAAAAGTTGGTTTGATAGAAATTTAAAAATATTTATATATCTTGCATAGTCATTTTTATGCGAAAGCAAATTCATGTGTCGTACGCTGGATCACACTTTTTACGGCAGTAATAACGACATTCATTATCATTGTAAAACAATTATTCCTGCTTCCTTAGAAAAAAAACAAATGCGGATTTTTGTAATCATTTATTTTTGTAGTTTCAAAAAGAGCCTGAGTGAAACTGTATATATATATAAGTTGGAACACTGGTCTTAGTGGGTCATTTCAGATGACATCCGGGTATTTTTAAATCATGGCCGCCATCACTGTAGGGTGAGTCTTTCTTTGAACAATTTTCTTCTTTTAAAAGATGCCAATGAAAAAGGACATTGGTGACTTACTGCGTGACTGAGAAATCCTAAAATTGTATGAGAGANAACATTACCGGTCATGCTCAATACATCAATAAAAAAGGATATTACTTAATAACACAACCTTATGCGGGTAGTAGGCTACCGGGACTTATATATATTTACTGACAACTCTTCTGAAATTACGGACATAAGAAAACGCACTTTGATAAATCATACTTCCTAGGGGCACTTTCTTGCTATGGAGCTCTCTTTCCAAAACTTTATAAGTTTTGCCAAGATCAATTAACCTTTTTACGTGTATTCTTTTTGAGGCAACTCGTCTATCTTTAGGGGCCTAATTACTGTTCCTGGGTCAAGTTGTAACTGACCCTTTAACATGGAAGGTGTGTTGACATGGGCAACCCTTCACTTCAAACGAAGCCCTGAATCCTCAAGAAAATTATGCCCACCTTGCCGACTTTGACATTCAGGTACACAACAATACTGAGGCATGTTTATTAAGGCCAGTACCACAGTCCAACGTATACAATATCCAACATGGCGACCTAGGAAGGACTGAATTCACACTAGCGACACCTGGCGCCAAGCGGGCTGGTATTCCTCATTGGGTAAAATAAATTTAGTAGCTTTGTAGAAGATGATGCCATGGAAGTATGATGTATAGTCTCTTTAAATGCGTATAATATGCTTTTAAAAGCATGATTAGACAACATTTCCACATGATATATTTTCAGTTATGAGTTTCATGTACAAATAAGAGTGTAAGGATAATTTGCTGCTAATACTCAGAGGTTGATCTATAATTGTTATCTGGATTAGTCAGTATTTGCTTTTAATAAGTAAAGATTTGGGCCAGCAATGTTAACACTGTTTACAAATAGAAGTCATTTGTTCTTGATGAATTTATCAAATTATTTAGTGTTGCTTTGAAGGCAAGACATAAAAAGACTACTGATGTAAGATGTATTTTTTTATCTGTGACCTTTGCCACTAACTGTTTGAATGCTGCTGGTTGTTGCAGTTCATTCAAAGGAGCTAATTTTAGCTGAACAGTAACAGCTGGTCTTTTTTTTTTCTCTACAACAATGCACTGTTTAAATCATAGTTATTTTTTGTCTGACATAATAAATTTAGCTCCAGAAATAGCTTTGCCTACACAACAGTATTGTGTAATGGCCCTGATTTAGCAACAATATCATAAAGATGTGTGAAAGGCTGCTTGCTGTGAGGCTGCAGTGAACCTCACCAAGTTTTCAAATATTGGTAACCTTCTGGACTGTTGGTGGTGTTTGAAGTGGTGTTGTTTAAGCTGATATTCCACTTTGATGCGACCACTCTAATTTTGAATAAGTGTATGGGAGTTCAGTGGTCTTGTAAGAAGATTACACCGAAAGAGAGTCATTGTCTGGATACTTATATTAATTTATAAAGGTCTACATATTTTCCAGTGATAAAATTCAGTAGTCAAACCTAAATCTTTTAGTTAGAAATGAAGGCAATTTATTATTTTTGTGATGAGAATTAATAAATAATTAATTTAATTTTGAGGACACCAAAGTAATCTAGGAGAATCTGCATCTGAGTATCATTATAAAAATAATTTTTTTCACATTTATAACAAAATGTCTTAGGGTTGCCAAGTAATAAGTACTGTAGGTAAGTATATAGGATAGGCAGGTGTTTTAGAGACAGGATCAGGTACTCCAACAACAAAAAATTAACAGATCAATGATGACTCATAAAAGTACTAGTACCAGCTTAGTGAAAATTGGTCAATAATGAAATCTCATTAGTAGTCTTCAAAATGATTTGTGACAAAAGATTAACTGTACATTACCTTGGATTAATTGAACATGGGCAAATATTAAGTAATGCATTTGGTCATTAACCTTGGGAATTTTGAGCACAAATGTGGAATTTATTATATTGGTTTTTTAACATTTTGATCAACAGTTGACCATGTCTGATGATTTTTTAATATTTTTTTATTCTTTTTTTATTTTTTATTTTTTTTTTTATTGNCCAGGACACAAATACCACGGAATGGCCCTTATCTGGATTAGTCAGTATTTGCTTTTAATAAGTAAAGATTTAGGCCAGCAATGTTAACACTGTTTACAAATAGAAGTCATTTGTTCTTGATGAATTTATCAAATTATTTAGTGTTGCTTTGAAGGCAAGACATAAAAAGACTACTGATGTAAGATGTATTTTTTTATCTGTGACCTTTGCCACTAACTGTTTGAATGCTGCTGGTTGTTGCAGTTCATTCAAAGGAGCTAATTTTAGCTGAACAGTAACAGCTGGTCTTTTTTTTTCTCTACAACAATGCACTGTTAAAATCATAGTTATTTTTTTGTCTGACATAATAAATTTAGCTCCAGAAATAGCTTTGCCTACACAACAGTATTGTGTAATGGCCCTGATATAGCAACAATATCAAAAAGATGTGTGAAAGGCTGCTTGCTGTGAGGCTGCAGTGAACCTCACCAAGTTTTCAAATATTGGTAACCTTCTGGACTGTTGGTGGTGTTTGAAGTGGTGTTGTTTAAGCTGATATTCCACTTTGATGCGACCACTCTAATTTTGAATAAGTGTATGGGAGTTCAGTGGTCTTGTTAGACGATTTCACCAAAAGAGAGTCATTGTCTGGATACTTATATTAATTTATAAAGGTCTACATATTTTCCAGTGATAAAATTCAGTAGTCAAACCTAAATCTTTTAGTTAGAAATGAAGGCAATTTATTATTTTTGTGATGAGAATTAATAAATAATTAATTTAATTTTGAGGATACCAAAGTAATCTAGGAGAATCTGCATCTGAGTATCATTATAAAAATAATTTTTTTCACATTTATAACAAAATGTCTTAGGGTTGCCAAGTAATAAGTACTGTAGGTAGGTATATAGGATAGGCAGGTGTTTTAGAGACAGGATCAGGTACTCCAACAACAAAAAATTAACAGATCAATGATGACTCATAAAAGTACTAGTACCAGCTTAGTGAAAATTGGTCAATAATGAAATCTCATTAGTAGTCTTCAAAATGATTTGTGACAAAAGATTAACTGTACATTACCTTGGATTAATTGAACATGGGCAAATATTAAGTAATGCATTTGGTCATTAACCTTGGGAATTTTGAGCACAAATGTGGAATTTATTATATTGGTTTTTTAACATTTTGATCAACAGTTGACCATGTCTGATGATTTTTTAATATTTTTTTATTCTTTTTTTATTTTTTATTTTTTTTATTGCATGAAGTCAGTCTTACCTGAAATTCAAAAGATGAATTGTGCCACAGGCTGACAGATTTGTTTATTAAATATATTGTGTATTTTCAGTTTCCCAAAGTGAAGATTATATTGAAGTTCAAGATGATATGAAATCAAGATGAAAATAGATAGAACAAAACTCAAAAAAGGCAACTCAGAGTTGGTGAGACAAAAATTATGTATTATCTTTAATGCTTCAAAAGAAAAAAATTGAAGTAATCAGCACTAAGGAGATAGAAATGAAAATAGTTATAATTTTTTTTTTAATATAAAAGTATTTTGTGTATTGTAAGCTGATGTTATGAACTGTTATATAGTATAAACTCACAAACAACTATTTGTTGCAAACTATACACTAAAGATTTGTTATTATTTTTTCTATTTTTTAGCCGGCAGAGTGCAGAAATCTCATAGATAAATTGAAAATTTGTGGACGCGATGGCTTGGTTACAGAGCTTCAGAAAGTGAAAACATGGACCTATGGCAAGGTAAAGAATTTCACTTATTTTGTCTGTTAAATGTGCGAGTACAATCATGTTCACAACCAGGCACCTTGGAATTGACATTGTATAATTGACATCAGCACAACCAGGGGTGGGATTGAATTGATTAGAATGAATCTGACCAATATTTTGTGATATGATTATTGGGATGAAGTTGTGCATCACTTCTAAATATGATTTAAATATTTATACTAATACCTAATTGATGACAAATGAGGCAATTTATTTTACCCAAAGGATTATAGACAGCCTAAAGATAAGTATTTTTCATTTTCATTATCCAAAGGAAACTACATTTAGCATTGAACTGTTTCTAGGGTATGATATTATATATATATGGTACTGATAACATAAATATTCAATTAATTTCAGTGTGAGTTGTTCCACTGGGCAGATGTCCTGGATGTGTTTGATGAGGTGTTGGAGAAAGCCTGCAGGAAGGAGCAGGACAAGCAGTGGGTCCTGCCATGTGACATGGAGGGGAATGAAAAGGTAATACCTTAGGATGACAATGCTTAGATGATATTCTTGATGATATTCTGTGCCCTCTTAACCAAAATCATGTCAAAGACTTAGACACTTGTTTGTTACCAGTGTTGATTGATTACCCTGTAGGTAGAGATCAATGAATAGGTAATATCGGATTTATTTGAAAATCTGGATGTTTGACCCCCTTCCCTCTCCCCAAGGCCTTTGGCACTTGCATTTTCAAGGTTTTTTAAAGGTTCACTTTGGTCTAAGAGTTGGATAAATAAAAGATATATAAATAAGTAAAATAACAATATTTAAAATGAATGAATGTATGAGTGACTAGGTAAGTAGATAAGCATAGTAACTAAATAGTTTAAATAAAGCCAGTACATTGAGAGGGTTAGAATGTTAATCAAAAGCATACAGAGTCTTCTCAGCAGGAGCCAGACATTTTATTGCTCTTAGCTGTATTCTCTCAGGAGATGATGTTAAATACGGTATAAGGTCAAAATAGTGATGAATGTCTCCAGAGATCTTGAGCTACTTCTCCAGTGGGCAAGTACTAGGAGTCTGGAGTTTTTCAAATCCATATTAAAACCTTCACCACTGTGGTATAAGTTGAAAAAATAATGAGATATTTGTGAAAAAATGATACATATTGATCGATTTAAAGGTCATTGTTTTTTATTGCAAAGCACTTGTACATATTGGGCAAGCAGTACTTGCTGAACGAGGAGATTGCGAATGAGGCTGTTGTGAAATAAACTTTTTTGATGGGTCTTCAGGTGCCATATCTGCAATCTGAAAATGCTTGATCCCTCAACAAATGCCACCCCCTTCAGTTGATAATAGCGTGCTCTTCTCTCTTTGTAGACATGGTCATGTTATTTGTGATGTTGTTTATTGATTTTACTGTGTACGGGTCCCTATTGCCAAGTTACAGCACAAATTCTGAAAATCCCAATGGACATATAGTGCATTAGATTATTGGGCTGATTATGATAGAAGAGATGAATGGAGACATTGTTGAATTTTATAATGTTGAACTATATTGGTATAGATATTAAATATATATACTTATTCATCAGATATTATTCTAAGCATTTATATGACATACCATGCTCGCCTGGATATCTTTCAGCTAAAATAGTGGGGATGATTTTATTCAAATTTGAAAGACTGAATAAATGATCAAATTGGCAAAAAAATTTAAAAAAAAATACTTTGATTTCATACACCAAACAAATTGATTTGTATTTGCCTGATTAAAATCCACTGTTATGTATTGGACAGAAATTCACTGTGCTGAGTTGAATCCAGACATCCTGTCTGTTATTGATATGAATGTAGGTTTGAGGCATATGTAAGTTATATGGGTAGGCAAGAGAAGAAAACATTTACTGCATGTTGAAGCAGAAAAAAATTTCGTAATACAGGAAAAGTGTTGCTATAGAAACTAAGCTTTGGCTTGAACATAAATATCATTTCCTTAGATATAAGGGCTTCAACGATGAGATGCATGTTACTGTCATCCTCATGCCATTTAAAATGTCATGCAGCTAAATGTTTTTCACGTGTAATTTTGTAAATTGAGAAATAGCCCGCAGTTCGGTGTATACAGTTACAGCCAAAAATATCTTGGCTGATTAAGCAATTATTTTTGTTTTTGCCCAAAGGGTAAAAATATTAAAATAATGCTAGTTATTTGTATTTTATGCAAAATAAATATTTAAACAATTATTTGAAAAAAAATTTTCTTGTCAGACCGACTAAGACTTATTGGCAAAAGATTCTAGAGTAAAAACTTGGTGTAAGCATGATTTTTACCTGATAAAATTGAAAATCTATTTTATTTTTATTAGTTGTTTTCAGCCTCGACGTGTCCCCTACATCTCTAGTCATAAAGCCACCAAACCATTTCTTCCCACTTCTTTGTAACAACCAAAAATCATGTCTGTTGATATCAACAAGTATTAAAAATTGCATTGTATTATATCAGGAGAAGGACCTGTTACTGAGCGTGTTACAGTTCACAGCCTTACTGATAGAGCATAGCTTCTCCCGTCACCTGTACAACTCTATGGAGCACCTGACCACCCTGCTGTCCTCCAGTGATATGACAGTGGTCCTTGGGGTCCTTAACCTGCTCTATGTCTTCAGGTAGGATGATCAGCTATGGTGATTTCATAATGTTGATAATTGCTGGAGATAAAACTGGGGGAATATGATTAGGGGATAGTTGTTTAATGTTTAATGTATGCCACTCTGTATTTGTCATTTATGAGAAGTCAGTGAGATGTGATTCTAGAGGTTGTTCTTCCTTGATATTCAGTGTTAAGTTAAGTGAGTAATTGCACTGATTGAAAAATTGCACTGCTCGCATCTAGGAAAGATATTTGAAAAATGTTTGTTTCTCTTATTTTTAGCAAGAGGTCCAACTTCATAACCCGCCTGGCTGCAGATAAAAAGCAAGCCTTGATTGTCAGGCTGACACACCTGGCAGAGGTTAGTACCATAGATCTAATTAATTCCCTTTGAGAGCTTGAAGGATGGGTGCTGTTATATATTAATGGTAGATTAAGTGGAATAGACCTTCACTGTTTTCAATCAGTGGGTTCAATTATGTGTGAGATTTGAAATCTGCATCCACCTGTGATTGTTATTTATTTATTTTTTTAGTTATTGATATATATTTATACAAATTTTCACCTTATTGGTGTGAAAGATTTATCTTGTGTTTAAGATTTTTGAATGGCATATTTGTCTTGAATTCCAGAGTTGGGGTGGCAAAGACAATGGTTTTGGTTTAGCGGAGTGTTGTCGTGATCTTCCAATGAGTGTGAGTATAAGAAAACACTTACCTTGTTTTAGTAATAGAAATTTAGTCTAACACTAAAGAAATGACACTAAAGAAATGAGGTTCATTTGATTTTTTTTTCCAATTAATTTAGACAAATAGAGTTTAGGCTGTAAGAGTGAATATGGTTTGGATGTCAGAAATACCAATCATACTATTATCATACGCATAGTATTTAAGTATTTTAGAAGATTGATAGTGTTAAAGCATAATGCTACTGCTACAGAATAATGTTTTCTCTTGGTGAGGAGTATGATACACAGTCATCATTGTCTTAATGGACTTCAGATGTTTTGTTATTATGTCAATAATTGTGAAAATGTATTCTTTTCCAATAACAGAGCTATCCCAGCACTGCCACCACTTTACACTTTGAGTTCTATGCTGAAGCTGCTGAAGAAAAAGCAGGAAGCAAGAAGGTATTTAGTCTAAACCAAGAGTCATGCAAATGTTAAAGTGAGAAATAAATTGCTAATCATATTGGTATAATTTAGCTGTATAGTCCTTCCAGTGCATTGTTAACCATTATTTTAAGAGGAGAAAGTTTGTTGTTACCTTCCTAAACCCACTCCAAACCCCTCCTTCACTAAAAGTGCATTGAGTGTGAAAATAATTTGTCACTTTCACATGTAGAAATGACACATTGTCCATTTTCCATAAACAACATCTAAATCTTATCCTTTGGAAAATGGTCTCTCTGCAGTTGATTTCATCAAATAATATCTTATAATCGTAACTTGAAAGTCTAATATATTTGAGAGAACAGTTTCATTAGTTCTGTATGTATCAATTCAAATTATCAATTCAAAATATACCCACATATTTTACAAGCTCTTGATTAAAAAAAAAAAAAATTTGAATCTGATATATTTATTATCCAGAATACTTCTACAGTGTTGAATACTATCCACATAGAGGGTGTGGACCAGATCCAGAAACTGCCTTCCCAGATAATGGAGGACCTGCTTGCCAAATTCAATGTGCCAGAGGATAAAAAGGTACTATTATTTCATTTTGTCCTAAGCTTTAAATTGACATAGTACATAGTAAATTTTAAAGGTTACATGTATTAGCTTCCATTTATTTCTGTTTAAATGGATTGCTGTATTTTTCCAAAAAGAATTGTAAATTTATAACATGACTTAATTATGAATTATACTAGAATATGTATCTTGTTTTCAATGGCATTTCTTCTTTGACATTTTGATTTAATTTATGATTGAAATTAAATGTAGATGTATTTGGACAATTTTAAAGATGAACAATTATATTTCAGGTCTTGCTGTTCACCCACATCAGATTAGCCCACTCATTCTCAAGACATGACAGAAGATTGAAGTGTGTGCAAGCAAGGTTGCAGGCTATTTCTATATTAGGTATTTGTAGTTTTGCTGTCAGGAGTTGTTTGGAGTTTGTTTTACACAGTTACCAACAAATATTGTTGGACTTTCTGTACACAGTTCAGGTCAGTGTTCTTGCCCATGGTTTTTCTCTAACCTGGTTTGGAAGTAGGATTTGATGCATACAAGAAGCATAATAGATTCAAAGTGGCCATTAAAACTATGTTTTTGGAAAGGATTTTTAATGAATTTTTCAATGAAGGTGTAGAATGTTTTTAAATATTTGACTCATCCTTCTAATTAATTGCTACTGTTTTACTTGCAGTGTATTCTAATGCCATTCAAGACAATGTCAACTCATTGCTGTACACTGGTCTAATAGAAGAACTAGTGGACATTGTGGAGTTAAAGACTACTCAACTAGTGGTAAGTCATGTGAAGTGATTCAATTAGGGACACCTAAACACCGAGTGAAAATATTGACATATCTTTATTCAGTAGTTTGTTCCAAAATTTGTCTGGTATAACCCAAGTTTTCCATAGTTAATTTTACTTACTGAATTAAATTTTATGTTGTAGGAAATAAAGGCAGCAGCACTGAGGACCTTGACATCCATCATACATTTAGATAGGAATCCAAAGTGAGTAAACTGGACCCCCCCCCCTTTTTTTTTTTGTGGAAGCAAAGTGATAAAAAAACAGAGTTCCAATCAGTCTCTTAAAAATGCTATAAGTTAACATTTCTCAGAATTTTCTTAAGAAGTGGGTTTATATTCACTTTCACGAGTTTATTCACTTTCACGAGTTTGCAGTTGGACTCCTTATTTTTGTGCCCCTTTGCCAATATTAACATTTTTTAAAAAAGGAAATGATATGTTTTATCAGTTAAGATGATAATTAAATTGTGAACATGCAAGACTGAATTTTATATTTCAGGTTGAATGCAATTATTGATGTAACTGGTGCTTCTTCCTACCATGGCTTTTTACCTGCTTTAGTCAGGAACTGCATACAACATATGATAGGTAGGTGTCACCATGAAGTGGCTGTTACCAGTATTTTGGGTTATATTTGCACTAAAATGATAAAGCATCAAAGGACAAAAAAGAAACATTCACTAATCTAACAACCATTGCTTCCTGATGTAACATTTGATAAGGTAATTTTCTGAACAAAATGCTTTGGATCAAAGTAAGAGCATTGGTTGTTTTAAATTGTATTATCAGCTATTATTTAATACAAATAGTGGTTGCTTGGTTGTCTTGTTTTGTATCATATTTAGTTCAGAAGTATTCTGTTTAATTTTGTAGATCCACAGTTGGATCCCTACCCACAGCCATTTGCCACAGCACTCTTCTCCTTCCTGTACCACTTAGCCAGTTATGAAAGTGGTAAGTAGCTCGCTCGCTCTCTCTCTCTCTCTCTCTCATATTCTTCTGTTATTTAGGAAAATGCTAATCTTTTGTTTTTCATTAATTTTTCATTTATTTATTTTTTATCAGGTGGGGAGGCCTTAGTGTCCTGTGGTATGATGGAGTCCTTACTCAAAGTAATCAATTGGTATGGGGATGGACAGGAACACATCACAGTGAGTGTCTCTGTAACTGTTTGCTTGTCAACGAAGTAGTTTGCAGTTGTGAAATGTTGGAGATTTTTACATAAGTCTATGAGGAAAAAAGTGCCATGATAAATGGAAAGGATTAAAATAATGATAATCTTGTATGCCTTGAATATAATTGTAGGCCTGCGAGACTTATTGTATACAATTTGTACATGAACATCTGATTAATAAAAGTTGTTGTTTGGTTTCAGTTTGTGACCAGAGCTGTCCGAGTAGTGGACCTGATTACCAACCTGGACATGGCAGCTTTCCAGTCTCACCAGGGACTCACAGCATTCATCAACAGGCTGGAGGTAAGATAGTTAGGAGGCTACTAAAGATATTTGTACTTAAGACAGCAGATTTGGTGGTTTAAGTACCATTATTACCAGCTCGGAAGAGGGATGGGGCAGAGTAGGGAAAAAAAATTTTTTCTCTTTGACAAATATGGCTTGAATGTATAGTTATAACCAAATATATATTATTGTGCAGTGGTAAATTTAAGATATCTCTTCAAATACCCATTATTTTTATTCGTGAATGGGTCTTGAGACTGTATGGCATATTAAGATGGTGACTTGTCTGTTGGTTAAATAGAATTCAATTTAAAACCTAGATGGTGGTTAGGTTTCTGTCTCAGTGATGAATTAATACCAAAGACAAGCATATGTCTGATCATAGTGCTGACAGAAGTATGATTCTGAGAGCAATTTAAGTACCCAAAACAATTCAAAAGAAAACAAAGTGAGGAGTTATATTAAAATTGAAGATGACTGCTGTAGTTTGACATTTAATGATAGGTACTGGAAAGATGTTGAGAGTCTCATAGAATAATTTTTCCTCATCAGCATGAAGTTGAAATCTGCCGTAGAGAACAACCTTTTGTCATCCGACCCACCAGGAGTGAGTCCATCTCCAGTATTGAGTACCCCCACTCTCCCATGTCCCCGGGGAGGTCAGCCACCACCACCCCCATGGACACCGACCATGTTACCATGACAACCAGTGCGTCATCAGTGGAGGGCACAGAGGACCACAGTGGAACTACTGCTGCTGCAGCTGCGGGCGTCAACCAGGGTGCTTCGACTTCAACTGGGACAGACAATGAGACTGTTTCTTCACAAAAGACATGTGAACTGCCGGATTACAGTGCAGCCAAAACAGGTATGATCTTGTTGGTCTTTTTGTTGACTTTAGTGAGCACTAGTTGCAAAGATTGAATAAATCTCAACATATCTTTAGTTGAAGATTGGATTTATGATTTGGCAGTTTTCTCGTGTTGTGTATTGATTGCTGTAGTTGCACACCAGTTTTGCATAATTGATGTAGAGATGCTGGATGAGATCTCTGGAGATTTCAGTATCTTGTGAGATTACACTGGAGTAAAGATGGGATTAGCTTCAGTTTGGTTACATGTGTACGGAAAATCCTCAGTCATCCTATAAAGTAAAGCATTTTGTATTTTAGGAACTCCGTATTTTGAAAATGTAGATGATACCATGTTGTATCAAAACAATTTGATATTTTTATGGGCATTTTGAACCTAAGTGTTGTTATATTTCATTTTGTCAGGTTTATATAGATACTCTTGTTAACTTTAAATCTATACAGTTTACAATCTTAGTGTGTGATAAAATGGAGATATTACAGTTGGCTTCATCTTGGATATTCAGGTTTTCAGTGCTTCCCCCAGAGGGCTGCCCTCTTGAAGTCTATGTTGAATTTCTTGAAAAAAGCAATTCCTGATCCAGCATTCTCGGAGAGCATTAGACATTGTGAGTAGCTCTTTAAAGTCAGTTATTTTTTCCCCAACAGATATTAGCTAACAACTCAGACTTCATCATCATCATCATTACGTACTGAATAATGACACCAGATATGCATCTTATTCCTCAGACCAACACATAATAAAATGTCAGTCTTGATGTTTTATCTTGTATGTTAATTCTCTTCCATAGATCATTGCCTTTTAAAGTTTAAGTAAAAATTTAGAAAGTTGCTAGATTTTGCATAAAATATTCAGAAGCAGGAGAAATTTAAAGATGGGAATGATTTCTTACTTTTCTAGCATTCCAATCAGGTTCTTCACTATACTAGAAATTGAGTACAACGTACAATGATTGCGAGTTCATTACAAAGTTTGTTGGTTTATTTTCAGTGATGGATGGCTCTCTGCCAAGATCTCTGAAACATATTATTAGCAATGCAGAGTACTATGGACCTTCTTTGTTCCTGTTAGGTAAGAATGGAAAGTGGGATTCATGATGTGCTCTCCTGGGTCATATTGAACACATGACTGATGACATACATGTTGTAATATGATAAATGAATGTTTACTATTAGTAATCCTTCTACATATTTGTCTGTTTTACAGCAAAGCAAGTTATAATTTCTATTTGTAGTTTGGATAAAGTTGGCCATATTTCCAAATTGATATTGTTGTCCAGAATACCTCAGTTGAACTTTATTTAAAACCAAATAAAAAATTGCTGGAGTTATAAAAACATATTTAGGTTGTATTAAAAAAAAACGGAATAAATTATGCTCTTTTGTATATAATATAAAAGTGGATTTACCATGTATTTTTATTATTTTTATTTTTTAGCCACAGATGTTGTGACAGTGTATGTATTCCAAGAACCCTCTCTCCTCTCCTCTCTACAAGATAACGGACTCACAGATGTCGTCTTACATGCTTTGCTCATTAAAGATGTAAGCATTCATTTTATGTCTCCTCCATCTCAGTGTACCACAAACTTTCATAGCCTCATTTATAACAAGAAAGAAGGCAACAAGGAATATTGATTGTTCGTGATTTGGCCAAACAAGGCCCCTTTTATTATATAACCCCACGAAATGGATTCCAATTTGCAATATCATGTTTTGGTAATTGATCAATCTTTATGAAATCATTATTTGTAAGTACGAACAAGCAGCCAGTCCGGTCAGTTAAAGCAAGTCCATCTAGATGAATCTCTGTCTTATATTTCAACTTCCTCACATTTGTCTCTCAAATCCATCACCCAGGTCCCCGCCACCAGAGAAGTTCTTGCCTCTCTGCCCAATGTATTCAGTGCTCTGTGCCTGAACACCCGAGGCCTGCAGTCATTTGTGGAGTGCAAACCATTTGACCGTCTCTTCAAGGTGCTGCTCTCACCTGACTACTTACCAGCCATGAGGAGGCGGAGGAGCTCAGACCCACTGGGTATGGTAATCCATTCTCTGAAGGCTGATAGAGGATTGTTATTATTCTCCTGAAATTGTTTTATTTGTCAGCTTAAAATTACGAAGCTTTTCAAGGAGACATGTGGCTGATCAATAATTTCTTACCTAATTTGCAACAATATCTGATTTTGGAGCTTATGAATGCTTAAATATGTACATAAGCAGTGAGCTGCTTTAATGGTAAACATGGTATAATAATATAATATTGATAAATTAAAAGTAAACTATATTTAAAGCCTAGATAATTTGGTCAGTTTAGCATATGTTATCATGATCCCTTTGTTCACATTCTAGGAGACACAGCCAGCAATCTGGGCAATGCCATGGATGAACTGATGAGACATCAACCCTCTCTCAGGACAGAGGCCACCAAGGCTATTATCAAGGTAAGAATTGCTAGCAGTGGATCTTCTGTTTTGATACAGTGACCAATGCCTAAGGGCAGTTGTAAAATTTTCAGTTATGATAGGGTTGGTTTATGGAATTTTTTAACTTTGATGTCTTTCCTTGACCGTTTTGAAAATTTTTGTACTGCAGTTTATTTTGCTGAAAGAATTGAACTTTTTAATTGAAATTTTGTGTAATTGTGTATTTAGAATCGTCATAAAAAGTACCAATAATTTGAAACTTAATATCTGCAATTTAAAAATCATATATGTTGATGTGATTGTATTGCAAGCTGTTGGAGGAAGTCTGTTCCATGGGCCAAGATGTCAAGTACATTTGCCAGAAGCCGGCTCCAAAGGCAGAACTAGCAGCAGCAATCAACCTGCGGCCTCCCACACCCAATGATGCAGGCTCCTCAGAGGACGAGGATGATGAAGACGATGGCGCCAGCACCACCAGTCAGACCAAACCCACAGAGCCATCTGGTGGAGAGGGCACAGCTCAGGATGGATCAGCGTGAGTAGAGTTATATAATATTATGTGTCATGTTTATGTTAATGCTTTTTTCATGCATAGTGTAGCAATTCTTTATTTTTCATGTAATATTTTGTCAAAAGTTAAGATAGTGAGTTATAGGTTTTAACTTTATCCACAGCAAGAAATTCAGTTTTTCATGTTATATAGTTGTTGTGTATTGTAGTTTGCTTAAGCAGTAGTGTTGATAAAATGAAATATAATGCTTACATTATTACTGACATTATTACTGTCATTGTTTTCAGCCCCTCTACCTCCCAGGAAAGAATTGCAATACCCTTAATGGATTATGTTCTCAATGTGGTAAGGGAAAGATCAATACATTAATCTGATTAAAAAGATACCGATAACAATATTTTGAACTATTACTTCATTGTCCAGAGGATAATGGTGTCTAGAGGGTAGCTACAAAGGTGGTGTTAGTCCCTTGCATTTGCATTTGATCTCCACCCAGAATTGTCATTGTATCTGTGTGGAATAAAGCAGTGCTAGAGGAACACAAGTTAATCAGTCCAAGTACAGTGTCCATGGTTACACAGTACTGTTATTAATCTTGTCACATGATATAACACAGTAATCAGCTCAGGTATTTCTGAAGTGATTTAATTTTTGATAATGAAGAAGTTTCAGATAGATTATATTGAGTGAGTGAATAGTGTTATCAAAGTGTTCTAGACTAATCAAAACTGCATCAATGGTTGTGATATGGTAGAAAAATCAGAAAATTCTGGAAATGCATGTAACATTATTGCTTTTCAAAGCAAGTAAAAGTTGGTCAGTTTAAATGGTTAACTCTCTGCCTCATTTTCAGATGAAGTTTGTGGAGTCCATCTTGAGCAATAACACCACAGATGACCACTGCAGGGAGTTTGTGAGCCAGAAAGGGCTGGGTCCACTGATGGGCATCCTGGGCCTCCCCAATCTCCCCATAGACTTCCCAGCCTCTCCATCCTGCCAGGCAGTGGCCAGTGTATGCAAGTCTGTGCTGGTAAGAACAATTAAGTCTCTCATTGTTTATCGTTTCTGTTGGCACAATTTGTGGGGCTCTTTAATGCTGTGTCATGAGTAAAGACTTCATCTTTTCTACAGAATGACATATGATATCCTATAAGCAAGCCCTAGTGATTAGCGTCCCAAGTTGTCTACTTCAAATTATCTTATATTAGTTAATGTAAGATCTGTTATAGAAGACCTTCGATATTGATATGAGATAAAAATAGATTGAGGATTTTGCTACTAACACCCTGATCCACCTTTTCCCACGAACCAATTTGCTTTTGAAACAGTAGGGTACAGTTAGTAAACATATCTTGTACTTATTAAGCTATTTACAACATTGTCTACTATCAATTCCAGACACTGTCTCATGAGCCACAAGTACTAAAACAGGGCCTGCTGCAATTGAACGAGGTCTTACAGTCCTTGGAACCTCTGCACAAACCCCTGCCGCCCCCTGGTGGCTCTGTGCTGCTGCGGGAACTGGTAAACTCCAACAATGTCCTTGAGGCCATTCACTCTGCCAGTGCCACCCCCTTGCTTCATGCTGTCTCTTCAGCACATGCCTATATCATGATGTTTGTGCATGTGTGCAGAGTGGGGCAGGTAGGTGTAATGTGATTAAACCTTGTAATCTTTGCTTGATGAGAATGTGAATAATATACCTGTATCTATAATATTGTTACGTTGAAACCTTACCTTTGGCATTGAAATCTGTTTGAAAAAGAGGTTAATTTTTGTGAATTCAATGTGTAAATGGTACTGTGATGTGCGCCTGTTTTTGGACTCCAGTGCTTAAACCACTGGTCATAATCCAGAGTGACATCTATATTATCTCAGCTATTTATATATAAATTCATAGATTTTGCAAGCAGATTGTCTGATTATAGTACGTAGCCCTGTATTTCTTTTTGAAGATGGAGAGACCTACAAGTCGTAGTTTTATGAATTTTCTGAATTGTTGATCGATCACATCATCTATGTTCCAGAGTGACATCCGTAGCATCTCTGTGAGTCACTGGGGCTCTGAGCTGGGGCTTCAGGTCCTCAAGGGTCTTAGCCAGCTGTACACATCTCTGGTGTGGGAGAGTACCGTCCTCCTCTCCCTGTGCAGCGAGGACATCCTTCCACCCGGCTGTGAGTTTGGCAAAGTGGACATGGAGAAACTTTTGCCCAAGGATTTTAAGGTGGAAAAAGAGACCAAGGGTGGGGAGGAGGCTGGTAAACTGACCAGAAGCAGTGGAGAGACAGGCAGTAATGGGGTCAGTGCTGCCATGGAAACGTTGACCACATCAGAAGCGGCAGACAGTCCCATGGACATAGACATTGTGCCCAGCACTGCTGGGGGAGAGACAGAGGGGAAAAAGCAAAAAATATCAGCCAAATTACAAACTCAGATCAAACAAATCAAACCCCTGTTATCAGCCTCATCGCGGCTGGGACGGGCGTTGGCAGAGTTGTTTGGTCTATTAGTGAAACTGTGTGTGGGGTCTCCAATAAGACACAGGAGGAGTCACCAGATCCCACCCCCACCCACCACCCCCTCTCCGGCAGCAAGGGCGGTAGCCTCTGCGCTCATGAAGCTGCTGGGTAACGGGTTGTCTTGGGAACCACCCCCAGCTGCCCCAGTGCCAAAGTTAAGGTAAGAGACAGAAGGGGCTGATGGGAAAAATTGAAAGGAATAAAACTGTAAAAAAAAAAAACAAATGCCAAGGATTTGTCATCAAGAAGTGAGAAAAAGCACAGTAAATGAACTTTTTTATGATTTTAGTAGAAATGTTTTTTTTTATTGGATAGCAACTTGAATAAATGTAAACTATTAAATAGACAATTTTGATTTTTGTTTCAGGTTGACATTCTTGATTTGCTCAGTTGGTTTCACAGCCCCACTATTATTTGACAATGACAAATATCCATATTATCTGATGCTGCAAAAGTTTTTATCCTGTGGAGGACACGATGCACTCTTCAAGTAAGCATAGTTGTACAGGCCCGTAGCCAGAAATTTCAAAAGGGGGGTTCTTTTTCTGAAAAATGGAGCTTTTCCCATAAAAACTTCATGTACATAAATCAAATTTTACTCAGAGTGGAGCTTTTCCCAGCAAAAAGGGCGGTTCTTTCGAACCCCCCCGAACCCCCTCCCTGGCTACGGGCCTGGTTGTACAAATATAATATTTTATGCAGTTGGGAGTATAAAAGCTTTCCCACAGGCAATAGACTATATATGTGTTTAACATGAGAATACTTGAGGTCTAGATTGTTGAGAGATTTAAAATAATGCTCAAATTAAATCCTGACAGAATTGCAAAATTTACTATGCAGTTGTATATATGGTGTAGTTGTTTATTGTTTACACTGTACCATACCTGCCGAAAATGTTAGAGAAATTTCCCATTTTTATAGCCACTAAAAAAAACGAATTTATAATGAGGAAGAAATTTTTATAAACTTACATGGTAATAAATATGCTATTGTATTTCTCCAGTGCCTTTGAGTGGGCGTTGTCGTGTGGTGGCTCAGTAAGTTTAGACGAAGGGTTGGAGACCCCAGAGCTGCCAGACGGTACAGGGGAGTTCCTGGATGCCTGGCTCATGCTGATAGAGAAGATGGTGAACACCAAGCACATCCTGGAGTCTCCACACAAACTGCCAGCCAAGTCCACACAGCCCGGCTTTGTGCCCTTCAGTTCTGTGCAATATCTAGTACATACTCAAAAGGTGAGGAAAGATCGTACCCTCTTCCTTCCCCCTTTCCTGTTTCTATAACGAAATTACGATTTCATGTCCTATTTCTTCAAGAGAGGAGAATAAGACCAGTTGATAGATGCAGAAGTGCATAGAATGCACTGAAAAGTTTAGAGAGAAGAGGAGAATTCTCATACCCCCACCCCAGTTTCTTCTAATACAAGATGAAGGAATTGTCTCGATCAATTTTAAAATGTGACATACAAATATTTCAATGTTTGAATTTTTTGTGCATTCAATGAAGGAATTGGCCCAATGATGCCTACCAAGCACATAACCAAACTTTGTAATGAGGAGATTTGTCACTGAGGGCCAGACTCAATAGCAGAGATGAAATTTATAAAAATTTTCACTTTTCAACTTGTTTATTGCTGAAGTGTAATCAATTGGTTACTAAATTGCCCTTTTTGGGCTCCTTTCTAAGCTGTTACCTTTTGGGGGCTGCTACACAAATTATAATTATTGATGTGGTTGGTTAGTTAATTTCCCTGTGACCTTTTAAAAATTCAACCAAGGTGTAACACTGTATATGATTGGTTATTTGACTGACCCCGGACCTTTTGCAGGCTGCTTTCCAAGCTGTGATGCATCTGTGGGGCAGGAAGCCACTGAAAGTGTATGGCAGCCGTATGTCAGAGTCCATCCTGGCCATCTTGTGCCACATTATCAAAGGGGAAGCTGTGATCAAGGTGAGATATTTTTTTATGATTGACAAATTCTTTTGGGGCCACCAAAAATAATCGGATTAAGGAACAGAAAAAAAGATTGAATTGTTTGTTAACATTTTTTCCATCTAAGTCAAAAATAAAGTAAGGAAAGGTATGTTTAATTTTGAAGGTGTAAGGTACTGAAATATGGGGACAATGGTTCACAGTGGAGAAATGGATGGTTCCATACATGAACATGACTTCTTATAACATAACAATTATGTAAGAATCAAATTAAGTTTTATCCAAATTTTGTGAATATATGTATGCTCGTTACCAAACATGAAGTGATGTAATATGGAAACTGTTTTAACTACCTGTCAGTTTTGTATTAACAAAGTTGATACCATTGAAATTAATATCTTAAGAACCTAAAAAGATGTACCATTGAACTGTGCACTACTAAACATGGTGTAGTTGTTGATTGTTGACTCTATACCATACCTGTCTGGTGCTACATCAAATGATTGCTAGGCTATTCCCTCCTGTACAGAACTTAGCCTGCCTGGAGATTATTCACTAGCATACATGTTTTTAGAACTTCAGTGTGATTATGGTTTCAGTAATATGAGGTAACTAACAGTAAGATGTTTTGTATTTTCTAAAAATTTTTCTGTGACAATTTGAGTTGAATTTAACATGACAAAGACGTTAAGATTAACTCATCAATTTGTTAATTATTTATTTATTGACTCATTTGTTTATAATTTTATTGTAGGAAAAACTGGCCAAAGAATTGGAGGAAAGTGGCTCAGAGCAAGCATCTGCGTCTGGTTCTAGCACAGGTGTAGGTGGCACTGCTGCAGCTCCAGTTGTTCCGCCAGTCAGACAGGAGCCCGAGCTGAATCCACAGCACCTGCAACAGGTATGATACTGGACAGAATGTTCTTTAAGAAAAAAATTGTTTGGTTATTGAATTGCTGATATGAAAAAGAAGAAAGAAACTGCTATGTTGATTACTCTTTTTAGGGGGGTGGGATGGAAAGACATTAATATGTCATTGTGAGAGTCATGGTGTTGTATAAAATCTATATAAACTCTATGGACAAATGAGTTATAAAAGAGAATCATAGTATCGATTCCTGACAGACAGAGAGAGAGAGTGTTGTATATTCACATATTGTAGTAACCTCTGTTGTCACTACTATTTCAGTTGATGGACATGGGGTTCACCCGTGAACACTGTGCTGATGCTCTCCTCCACACTACAGGACTGGAGCAGGCCACAGAATACCTGCTGACCCACCCTGTCCCTGCACCAGCACTACAGGTCAGTCTGTTCTCATAACTGAAAAGATGCAAATGCCTCTTAGTAAACTATCAGGGAATTTGTTCATTTTTTCTGTAGAGTACATAATATTTTCTTTTCATATTTTTCAGTGCTGCTCTTTTTTGTGGCTCTTCCCATCTTTTGTGGAAATTCAGAATTATAAACACATACTATGTGTTATATATAATGTGTGTAACATGTACGTTGTAGTAAAATATACTTTCTAGTAACATATGCTGTGTGTAACATGTACTTTGTAGTAAAATATTCAGTATAACATATACTGTGTGTAATATATATAGTTAGTAAATATAGCCATGAATCTATATTTTCCTGTCACCAGGTGAGTGGTCTCCAGGACAGCCTGGGTCTAGATGTAGACATGGTGGAGACAGAGGAGGACCAGATGATGAGAGCTATAGCCATGTCTCTGGGAGAGAATGTTATCATGTCTACTGATGGGGTAAGTGGATGTGAGAATATCAGCCTGATAGTATGAGGCACACGCAATCATTTTTCTTTGTCATTTTTTTTGGTGCTTTTATATGAATTATATTGGGTATTACATGGATGTAGCATTGTTTTTGTCGTCGCTTACTGGTGAATAATAGTTTCAGTTTCCAATTTCTACTTTGAAGTATGAGCTACCTTGAGTGTTTTGATTGTTTGATCTGCATAAGCAATATATACATTTTGAGATTGTCATTTTATGTTTTAAGTAAGTATTGACTAATGATGATCTTATTTTACCTACAGCAGGACCAGCAGAAGAAAGAGGAGGAAGAAAAGAAAAAGAAAGAGCAAGAAGAGGTTGAGCAGGATAAACAGAGAAAGGAAGATCCATTAGAAAAAGAAGTTATTGACCACTTCACTGACACTATGATTCCAGGTAATGGAATTTTTAATTATCCATTGTGTTTTTCATCACGTTGTTGTGTAAGGAGTGCTGCTTCAGGTGTTGTTTTCTGCAGAAAAGATTGAAAACAAAATTGAGAAAAGGAAGGTTTCCACTGAAGAAATTCTGGAAAAAAATTCAAAATCCCTAACTACTTGAGCATTTTAGTGATTTCATTCAGGAATATAAGGTCTCTGGGACACAATTGATTACAATCAAATATTGAAAATTACAAATTGTCTTTTTTTTTTTTGTGAAAAATTTGGGGGAAACATTTTTGTGTACTAAATGCTTGCTACTACTGCAGGTTGTCTGAAGCTGCTTGACACCCTACCAGAGACAGTGTACAGAGTGTGTGACCTGTTAGTGGTGGTGACACAGAGGAATGGAGACAAGTGGAGAGCTAACATGCTGGAGTGTATAGCACACGAGGTGAGAGCACTTGCTGTTATCCTCATTATTATTCATTTTTGGTTTATTAAATCAGATATGACTGATCTTTAAGGCAGTCTCTAAATCTTTTATTCCATTTTTGGGATTGAACCATTCTTTTCTCACATCTACCACTCTTGTACCTCTTTTCTCTATAAAGAACACTTAAGGTGACACCAGTGGAGCTCTGTGACGAAAACGGATGAACAGAAGTGTTCAAAAGTACTCACTCAAACACAAAAACCGTGTTGACTTAAGGATTTTTCTGAGAGTTCCCTATAATCCAACTTTCTGTATTCTGAAAAAATAAGGCATTAATTTCTAGTCAAAATGTAAAAATAGAAGTTGAGTGAATATAAATGCAGATTCCTCTTCACTAAAATTGTCTTTGTTTGATAGTTATAATTTTACCAAGCTAAATATGAGACTACTGCAATAAGTGTACCCAAACATTCCTGTTGTAAAATGTGTACTCTTTGTTCCAGATTTTTCCCAGACATTTCATAACCATGTCATTGTGTATTTTTCCACCCTAGATCTCTGTCTGTGCCAGTAAGATCCTGGAGGCCTGTCAACCCTTAACCACATCTGACACCAGGACAGTGTCCGAGTGGGCCAGTGGACTGTCCAGCATGCCAGAGGCTAGTAGACTGGCCACCAGGCTACACCTGCTCACTTTACTGGCTGAGGTAAGCAGTGTGTGTATGTGTTTGCATGCGTGTGTGTGCATGCATGTTCTGCTTGTACACTCTTTAAGTTGTCCATTCAAGCTATAAGAACATGCTTTTAGACATTGCCTTATACTGATCAAGTTAAATAAATAGAACAGTGAAAAAAATTGCTGTACCAGTTAGTTTTCTGAAGAAAGAATTATGGCGATTTGAATCAAGAAGCTTTTGTGATTTCATGTATTTTGTAAGTGAAAATGTGTATATTTGTGATAATATATGTCAAATTATCTATAGTTTAGTGCATGGATGAATTACTTCCAGCAGTTATTACAGTGGTAGCTGGAGGTTTCTGACCATGCCAGATTAATATTACCACCCAGAACCATTGTCAAGCCTTTTACCATAGACTTGTCACACTGATAGGGGTGGGACAGCACTCTGCAAATATTAGTATCATTTCGAACATAATTCTTATTTTCTCTTTAAAAAGATTGACATTTATTTTGGTCACTTGTTAGTCATTGAACAAAGCAGCAAGATGTTCATTCAGCAGCCAGTACATTCATGCTTGTTATTGTCTCCATATTCGCAGGAAATGAAAATGCCGTGTGCGGAGGCCATGGAGAGGTCAAACATCCTGGAACTCCTGGTCCAGACCCTTGACGCAGCCCAGCAGTGCCTCAGTGCAGCCAAACTCACTACTACTCCTAAGTAAGTATTGGGAAGAGTTGGGAGAGGGGTTGAACTGGGGCCAGTTTCACCAAAGTTGAAGTTGTGTGAAATTTTGGATTTGATTTCTAGTCCAGTTTCCATGCTAAAGTCCCTGTATTCTGAATACTCCTTAATACTGTTAGATCTGGTGTGTAGAGTGCAGTGCATGGACGAATTCCTTCCAGTTGTTTTCATAATAGTACCTGTCGGGTCAGACACCATGCTAGAGTAATATTACCACCCAGAACCATTGTCAAGACCTTCACCATAGACTTGTCACACTGATAGGGGTGGAACAACTGTTGATTTTACAAGTCCCTCATCTAAGAATTTCATTGTTCTCCATTTGAATGGTGCATATTGAAGATGATGTGATCTCAATTTAAGAATGAATATTACTATGAGAAGATGTATTTTATAGTACACATTTTCAAAAAGAGGAAAAAATTTGTGTAAGATGGTTATTGTTTGTCACAGGTTACTGACTGTATTATTGCAGTTCACACAAGGATAGAGACAATATCCTAATAACACATTTTGTTAATACTGAAAAATATTTTACCACTTTTGATATTTATCCTAGGTGGCTAGCTGCCCTGTTGTTGCTGATAGACCTGTATGAAAAGATGTCCATGGTGTCCAAGAGAAGGATGGCCGCTGAGGCTGTACTGGTAAGTGGAAGAATATCCCATCTTAGTTTAGAACCAAGAATAAGTTAGTTAAATTTAGCAGGGGAAACAAAGGCACGGGCCACTACAAGATTGAGAAATACCAACAATATTGCAGTTCAGGTCATTGTGTGATAAATTTTTATAACAAACCTTGAGTTGCTGCCCCTGGGTGAAGCAAATGATTTTCCATATATTGCAAGTGGGATTGTGTATGCACTAATCAGATCAAAATGCCACAAGTATTGTCTAGTAGGCAATGGCTAACACCCACCCTGTGATGGCTTTCAAAATTTCCCAGTCATTCTCAGCTTGGATTTAGTCTCCATAAGTGTTAAGAATGCTGCCAAACTGTTTTATTTAAATTGATGTATATAAGTTGCAGTATACTAATGATTGCATGGATGAATTCCTTACAGTTGTCATAACAGTAGCTGTCGGGTCAGACACCATGCTAGAGTAATATTATTACCACCCAGAACCATTGTCAAGACTTTAACCATAGACTTGTCACACTGATAGGGGTGGGACATAGCTCTGCAGGAAAATAATTTGAGAAATTAAAAATTGTAATATATTTACCCCCCTTCAGATCTACAATTGAATTCAAACTTTAATACCCTTTTTGGACAGAATCTCCAGAATAGTATTATCTTTGGGTTTTGCAGAAATATTGACCTGAAATAAATCTCACTTTTGTCCCTTTCCCAAAGCTGGAGAAATAATGTATAAGATAAGAGTATTATGTATATTGATGTGATATTGCACGCAGTGTAGTATTGTGATGCAATTTGATATAACACTGTGCAGCATTGACGTATTATTGTGACAAATGGGTATGAAAACCAAACAACAGTAGATCATTAGACTTCTTTAACTGCTATGATTTATCATACTATCACAGTCTCAGACTTGACATTTGTCAATATTTTCGTTGTTCCAGGGTGACAGTCACACCTGGAAGTGGTTTGATGACAGGACGGGAAGGTGGTGTAACTGCAGTGTCAACAACAACAAGACCATAGATGACTCTTACAGGGCAGGGGAAGCCAGCGTCAGGTGGGTGGCCTGCCTGCAGGGTTTTACACGATTTCTATCAGAGTGAACCAACACAGTTTGTGGGGCTTATTGAAGAGACTGATGAACTGAAGTGTTCAAAAGTACTCAAACACACACAAATGTGTTGACTAAAGGATTTTCTGAGAGTTCCACAGAATCAGAATTCCTTTTTGTTTTGTGGTGAAATAAGGATGGTCTTATTATTGGCTAAATGTAACAGTTGTAAATAATTTGTTGTTAATTATTCTTTGTTTTCTGACATTGTAAACATGGGTGAATTCCTCCTATGACAGTAGCTGTCAGGTTAGACACTGCTAGTCTAGAGTATGTATTTCAATCCAAAATCTGTGTCAAGACTTAACAATAGGAGCGTGACACTGAAAGGAGTATTTTCCCATAACATTCAAATTGGGAGTTACAAGCACTCACCACCCGTCATGATTCCCTTTCCAGATTTACAGCTGGCAGGAGAAGATACATTGTCCATTTCAACACCATGATTCAGGTAATAAAGAAACCTTATTACATCTTATGTTTAAATTGGCAGTGTTGACAGTGATTTGTTTAAAAAAATTCTTGGGATTTGCCATTAAGGGGACCTTTTTCTTGAATTTGTTGGGATCAGGGTTGTTTTCCCCCTGATATTGGATACAAAACCTTCAAACCTGATCAAAGATTTTATTGTTATATACAAAATATCCCAGCACATCTCACTGATGAACACAATAAGACAAGCATATGACTGAATATATCATTGCTGAGTAATATGAGACCTGAGAGTTTGTGCTGAACCCTTAGTGAACTTTGTGATTTTTTTAAGGATGAGTGGGGATAATAGACATTAAAAAGCGGTTTTGTATGATAATAATACTAAAAACCTAAATATGTTTCAGAGGTTTTTGAGAAAATGTAATGAATTTAGGCTTTTTGTAAATTATTAGAAATTGTCATTACTTATATCTATGTTATATTTGACTTCAGTTTTAAGTCAACTTGCTATTCTGTTCTCAGGTCAATGAGGAGACTGGTAATCGCAGGCCTATAATGTTGTCCTTACCATCTAAAGAGGAGAAAGAAAAAGATAAGAAGGAAGAGGAAGTAGGGGCAGCATTGGGAGGAGTTGAAAAGACTGGAGTAGGGAAGGTAGAGGAAAAGAAAGGTATTAGATTGTTTTTCTTTTGATTTGCTGAAAAAATTAGGAGTATTAGAAGATATTGAAGAACAGTTGCTGAGCTTTTCTGACTTTGCTTGCTGTTTGAGCTTGTTTCTATCATGCTATTGAGTATTAAAAAATCAATTAAGCAGCTGCCCTTCTGTATCTTTAAAGGTCTGCAAAGTGAATTTTTTTCCAGTGCATTACATACTTAACGCGGGGTATTTATTGGTAAGATTTCAAAGATTTTGGATGGAAAGAAAATAGAAGAAGAAAATTGTTTACCAGCATGGAACCTAAAAACTCCACTTACTCTATGATGAACAGAAAACCATAAGACAAGCATATGTCTGATATGTACAGTGCTGTATGTGTGATTCTGAGAGCTTTTGGTTTTAATGTTATGAAGTTGTGACTTCATATATGTTTGTTGCATGTAAAGTGATCACTACTGGTGTGCCTTGTTCTTTGTAGATGAAAAGATGGAAACGGAGGAAACAAAGAAGACGTCAAAGTTTGTGAAGGGGTTGACACCAGAACAGATCAATACTATTGTCAGGTAGGTATAAGTTATCGGTCATTGTAAGATGCCTGAATGTATCACTTTAACAACTGTATATAAAGTCTACAGAAAATCAAGCATTGACTTATATGATGATCCTTATAGTTTGTTTCAAGAAGATGGCACCTCAGCATAAATCTCTGCTCCAGAGACAAATCGGTAACAAATTAATTCCAATTCCAGGGCCTCAGTAGGCATGATAGCCATCCCAGTGGAACCTGACACCCTGCATGCTGTGATGAGACTCTGTCTGCGCGTGACGCGTGAACACCAGCACTCACTCACTTTCACACAGCTGGGCGGTGCCCGTCTCCTCCTCAACCTGACGCAGGCCTCGGCATTCCAAGGGTTCACCTCCCTGGCCACCCTGCTGCTGAGACATGTACTGGAGGACCCGGCCAACCTCAGGCATACCATGGAAAAGGTGGGTGAAGAGGGAAAAAAGGGGGGAGGGGGGGACCTTAGACACACATGGGGGGGAAAAAGGGGGTAGTTGGTAGTCTTACAAATCTACCTTGGAAAAAGTGGGTGAATAGGGACCAGAAGTAATATTGGCTATCTTAAGGCATGTGGAAAAAGGGGGAGAAGCTACGCTTAGAGGCATTCTGTAGAAAAAGATTGGTAAATAGGGTGAAAAGGGCAGGGTTGCTAGCCTTAAACATATTGGGGGGGGGGGGGGGTATGGCTAGGTGTAATGCAAAAGAATTATAGAATTATCATATCCATTTCATACTGCAACACAGGGCTTAATTGGAGTTTTAGAAGTTCTCTCTATACCATGTTGCTAACAAGTGGTTTATGTCCCTGTTCAAGGTTGTGAGAACTGCCGCTGCAGGTACTGGCTCCAGTATGAATGGAGTGGCACAAGGCAGTATAGGAGCCAAAGAAATGCACTATGTCCTCAGAGCCCTGGGTCCAGCAGCTTGCCGACAGCCAGAACTCTTCAAGGAGGTGGCACAGAATGTTCTCAGAATTGCTCTTCCACCACCATCCAAGAGAGGTAAGGGTGAATTACTGTTCTGCATTGTTTGATTGGTTTAGAAAATAGTACAAAAAAAAAAAAAAAAAACTAGGCAAGTTTATTTACCTTGAGTATAATCCTACAGCTGTCTTAAGAAAAACACAGACCTGGTTTCCATCGATCTCTATAGATTTCTGTTTGTGAGAAGATGCTCTTAGCAGTACCAAAACCCATCTCCATGATGAATTTATACTAAAGACAAGCATATGTCTGATCATAGTGCTGACAGAAGTATGATTCTGAGAGCAGCTGATATCAAACCACTGGGCTTTGGATATTATCAAATTAGCCACTGTAGGAATGTTATAGCTAAGACGGAGATCTGTCATTTTGTGTTGCTTAAATTATATATAATGCCCTGTAATATCAGGGAATCAAAATAATGGAATTCTTAGAAAAATTGGCAAGAACTTTATTTCATACCAAAGCATATCAAGTGTTGAATGTGATGCACATGGGGAACATTCAAAACTTTTGGCATCAAATTAAAATATATTTTCCCCTGTTTTCAGATGAGGATGACTCTAGAATCACAGGCCCCAATGCTGCTCAGATCCTGAAGACAGTGCCAGTGAAGCAAAGTAAACCTGTAGATGTGGCACTGGCCATGAAGCAGGTCACCAAGGATCTGCTGGATGCCCTGGCTGTCAAATATACCTGGTTACAAGAAGGTAATTTTTGAACACCGGGACACAGATGAGCTTGTGAGCTTGTGAGCATGTGTGCGAGTATGCAATCTGCACTAACACCAAAGGGTCATCAAATTTGTTGATTTTAAACAGACAACAATTTAATGTGAATATATCTTCCTAAAGGACACTCCACAGTTGAGAATAAAAATCTTTTCTACTTGGGCATAATTGCAACGAAGAGTTTGGAATGCTTCCCACAGTGGCTTTAAGTATGGTGACATAAGGCCGTCTCTGCAGGTGATTTACCAAAATTGATGCATTTCTTTTAAATTGTTGATATCTTATCATAACTCACTTGAAGGCAGACGTTTCACTGATTCTCAATAATTGTTGTATCATTCCCACAGAGAATGAGAAGGAAGAAGGAGGACGTTCCCCCCAGACCATAGCTGAGGCTATCCAGGAGGTGGTGACAGAGGTGACACGGGAGCTATCAGGACGCGGAGGAATGCTGAGACAGGACAGCTCTGTGGACCTCCAGCAGCAAGATGATGACACTACTCAGGTAAGGGTCACATCAGTTATATTTAGTTTTTATTTCAGTATATCACTGCTCTTTCTATGTAATGACATATCCAAAATTGTCTTGGGGGTGGATTGAAAATGAAAGTGTTCTTGCAGAAAAGAAATTTGCGCATCCATATGTATCCTTTTTCTGTGGAATGTAGGGTTTGGATTGCTTTGCTTTGAAATTTTCAAAAATAATGGATCAAAGAGTTGGAATACTAACATATTTCCCTTTATTCCAGGCCCAAACAGATCAAAATGCGACAGAGGCTGGCCAGTCCACCAGCGGCCAGGACAAAGAGGCTGAGAAAGACCGAGAGAAGAAGGCTGCAGAAGAAGAGAAAAAGAAGCGCCCCCTATTGTTGAAGTCTGCCATCTTGCGCCTGTTGGCAGAGCTGGTTCGCTCATACTCTGGCTGTGCTCAACTTATTACTTCCCATACATATCAGTCAGGACAGACTGAGTTAGTCAGCGAGGTAGGTTGTGAAGCAGTTCAAAGTCAGCCAGCAGGTTCTGGTGCTAAGTGGCTTAGTGCTACCTTGAATAAAATAAACATAATTTGAATGTTTTAAAGATGCTTAGCTTATGTGCTGTGTGTAGGTTTGAAATGAAATTGATGGAAGGACATTAGATCTAGTTTGAAAGGATACAAAATGAATTGAATACTTCAGTTTTTAAAGTGACAAGCTAAATAATAGAGTCAGTTAAGATTTCAGGGTTTGGACATAGTTCTACCTTAGTTCTTATATTAAGTGGTAAATGAAGGAGATGAAGAAATTGATTATAACCTCAAATGATGCACAGAACACAGTGTTAATGTTATATGTTGCCAGGATTAATACCAATGAATGTGCTATAATAAATGGCTGGTTGTCCTTCTTCTGCAAGCCTAGTCTTGCTGAGAGATTAATCACTGGCAAACAAAACTAATTTCTTTAAATAGATTTTTTTTCTAAATTAACAAATTGTGAGAATTCACCATTAGGTAATTGTGAGATGAGATTTATACAAAAATCATGGTTACAGTAAACATCTGTGAGGATGATTTTATTAACAGATATTAATTTAAACAAATGAGACATTTATAAAATATTTGAATGCTCTTCTCTAATTTTCCAGGACTGCAATGTCCTCGCGTTCCTGTTAGACAATCTCCTGCCCAATACTCAGACCACAGGTGACCGGGACTGCCCGGCCCTGGCCAGGGTCCTGTTGGCCAGCCTGGCCGCCTGCAACCACAGTCCAGAGGCACAAAACACTCTAGTCAGCGAGGTGAAGGCTGCCCTGCAGAGGGCGCTGGCCTTACCCGAGAGCTCGGTCAAACACGCCAGAGTCCAGGCCCTAACCGGGATGATCAGCACCATGATCGAGTCCTGTCCCACTCCGGGACACATCCCAAACCAGGTGTTCAAGGGACAGCAGTCCCACGTGAACCAGATGGTGAAGGTGCTGTTGAAGAAGGGGCTGGTGATGGACCTAGCCAGGGTCCCCCACAGCCTGGACCTGTCCAGCCCCCACATGGCCACCACGGTGAACACAGCCCTGAAGCCCCTGGAGACCCTGTCCAGGATTGTGAACTCCCCTACTGTACAGACACAGAGGCAGGCCAAGCAGAAGGGGACAGGGGTGGCTGCTCTACAGAGTGCTGAGCAGGTGGCTAATAATATACAGGAAGGTGGGTAGAGTGGGGGCTCTGTATTGGAATGATGTGTGCATGTTTAGTAGTGTTTGTGGGTGTGAGTGAGAAAGGAGGAGCTAATCAAATTGTTACAGGATTTTTTTCAACATACAAAGTACTCTCAGAAAGAGTGGTTTTTGGTTTTCAACAAAGTTTAAATTATTGGTGGTCAAAATAAATTATCAGTATCTTTGTGTTGCATATGTGATGAGAATCCATGTAATATGGCTACCTAGTGTAAGATGCACGATGATGGTACTTTTTGTTCACCTTGGAGAACTGATATGCAACCAGTGATAACAAAAGATAATCGTGTAAAATCATTAAACCTTTTGTTTTGCTTCACTAGTAAATGAATCAAGTTGATTACAGCCAGTCTTATTTTTTGAAAGTTGGTGTTTTTTCTCTGTGTCAATATATTGAAATGGTGTATATTCACTCCTGTTAAGGTGAAGAGCTCAGTCAAAACACCTCAACAGTGGAGCCCTCAGATGAAACACTAGAGGGAGCTGCTGAAGAAGACACCCAAGAGGAACCAGATACACAAGAGGAACTAGAAATCTCAGATATGCCACCTATGGACGAGTCTGAAATCCGAGAAGCTCAGGTACATGGCTTTTTGTCATGTTGACTTAGTGATCATGATGTCTGTTGTTTATTTGCAGAGTAAAAGTATAGATGTGAGAAATGGCTCAAACAACAATCTATGCTCAATTAGTGTACATTGACAGTATGTGCAGAGTGCAGAAATTATTTTTAAACTACCTTGCGTCAAAAGATGATGAAAGATTGCTAAGAAGAATGATGGAATTGGTTTGGCCTGCATGTTTCTCATAGCACATGCCAGAGCAAGTAGCAAGTTGTCCATCACATGGAGTAGTTTTGTTAACTGTTGAACTGTGTTGTTTCAGGATGAGGAATTTCAGGACATGTTTGACCAACTGATTCAGCGTGATCGTGGTGGCCATGGAGAAAATGAGGTGCTAGCAGAGATGATTATAGAACCAGGTGAGAGTGGTTTGTTCTCAGAAAACTTATATTTTAGCTCCAGTTTTTAGCTCCAGTTGAAAAAAATATGCTGTTAAAAAGTCAAGATGGTTTGTGTGCCTTCAATCCGTATTATTAAAGAAAATGCCCAAATGACTGAGGAATAACAATTAACCATGCATATTTCTTCTGTACTGTGATAAATACAGTGTTTATTTTTTCTATGATTACAGATGAGCCCAGTCAACTGCTGACACAGACAGACGATGGGGACGAAGTTCTCGTAGACGTGGAAGTTGACACAGATGATGTGGATCCTCATGATTCTCAGATGATAACGCAGGAAATATCAGATGATGAAGTGGACAATACTCATGGTAAGGAGGAGTTAATATCATCTGTGCCTAGTATTTATAGGGATCCTACCCTGAAGCTTTGTTTAATTTCTTTAATCTGGACAGTTTCTGTAGATTGGCTGTTTTTATCCAATTTTATTATCATATTTTGCTGAGTAAAAATGAAAGGAAGCCATATAACTATTTACTCCAGCTAAGTAAGGAAAATATCTGAGGACCTCATGTTATTAGTAGCATTTGTTGTGTTTATGTTTGAAAATAAAGGTGTGATTAGAATTATAATCAAGGCACATCATGAATATGTCATACCATATCATGTACCTTACCATACCATGATACCATGATACCATACTATACTATTTTATACCATGCCATAATGGTGGACATTTTGACTTTTTCAGTTGAAGACGACCACCCAGAATCAGATGATCACCAGTCTGATGCTGATGATGACGATGACGATGAAGATGACCATGACGAGGACGAAGATGAGGACAACGAAGAGGAGGAGGAGGATAATGACGATGATGAGGATGATGATGAAGAGGATATTGAGGATGATGAGGTAATAATATATGGCATTTAAATTTTTGATTAAATTAGATTTGGGAGCATAGTTCTGATTTGAAAATCAAATTTATTTGTAAATAACACTAATGATTACAGCAATAATCATGAAATAAAATGACAATGATGAAAGAAGAGTTATTATAATATTCATACCAGAAATGTTGATTAGAAACTTTGTTAAGACAAACATTTGATAAATATAAAGATTTTAACCAAGGTTGGAATTGTTTGGAAACTTACATTAATTACCATTTCTTGCCATTATAAGCATCCGTGTATGATCTCAAATAGGAATACATTTTCAACTAATGACATTAAAATGGTTTAAACTGGGAATATCACAACCAAAATTTGCCCCTCAAGACCTGAGCTTTAAAAAGATTTTAATAATCTTAATGTGTGTGCAAATTTTTCTAGGGCTCTGACATGGAAGCTTACAATGATGATATGCCTGAATTGGAAAGTGACATGCATGATGATGATCTTTTCTTGCAGCTAGAAGAGATGTTCCCGCCTGGTAAGTTAGCCGTTGTTCTCCACATTTTTTGACAACTAGGCCGTAAGTTAACACATTGGAATAACACATTGGAAAGTTAAAAAGAATTTTGGATTTTGCCTTGACACTGAGTGCATTTTTTATTTTGTTCTTGTTTGTTGTTTGGCATTGGTTTTATTTTCAGTTCTTGCTTTCATTTTGATTGAAAAAGGGATAGGTGCTTGGATAATGGAAAAAATTACATGGAAGAAGAAATACTAAAATTATTGACGCAAGATTACTTACGATAGCATCTGCCTGATGGATCTCTTTTTGCTGACCAGCATTTTTTGAAACGTATTTAAAATTCATTTAATTTACAGGAAAAAAAGTTTTTATCAACAATATTCATTTATTGCAGTACATCCACTTGGACTTTTTCCATCAACTAACATCTTATCCCTTTCCTTGGATTTAATGATTTTAATGAATATAAATACCACTGGGCTTGGGTTTCTGTAAATAAGTTTTGACAATAATACGAGTGTTAACATACACAAAAGAAATGTAAAATTTTCTGCTTGACATTTCGGCTAGCTTTCATTGTGAAGAAGATTTCAGCTCGACTCAGTACTTAGTAACAGTTTGCACAAATGAAGAGTGTTTTTTGTTTGGTTTCTTGACTTTGCACTACTAAACATGGTGTAGTTGTTGATTGTTGACACTACACCATACCTGTCTGGTGCTACATCAAATGATTGCTAGGCTATTCCCTCCTGTACAGAACTTAGCCTGCCTGGAGATTATTCACTAGCGTACAAATAATTTTACATATTGATATTATCATGGGTTGTATGGGGAGTTGATTTGTACATTTTTTATAGGCATTTTTAGAGTGCTTTTCGTGTGTTCACTCATGGTTATCGATTTATTTATAGGACAACACATAATACTTGGGGGAGACACTGTCGGCAGCAGAATTCGCACCTATCAACTTCCTGTCTCAGTACATGACCAAGACAATGGGAACGACAATGTTAACATGTGTAAGCTATTCACTCTCCAAAGTTTTTTTCCTCCTGAAAGTTCTTGTAGGGAGAATCATATTTTAAAAATTTGTAGTAGTTATATCAAGCAAATGTCTATATTGCATTGCTGTTACAATTAGCAATTTGTGTAGTCATCATCAACATTTCATTGCTGAAATACAATTCAAATATGTAGGATAAATTTTGTTTGGTTATATATACTTGATCACTGATATAATTGGGGTACTATTTCAGTCCCGTCTGTTCCGCCTGCACCCAGCAATGTAACCGCCATGCATCCTCTCCTGGTGCGTACAGCAGACATCCACGGAGCGGCGGGCTCGGTGGCAGCCCGCGTGCACAGGACAGGCCGCCAGAGAGGGACGTACAGGTACAACCCTAGTACACAGACACTGCATGTGCACTACCCAGGGAACTCCCTCAGGCAGCAGCCCAACCCCCCAGCAATACTTCAGAGGTAAGACACACCCACACACTGCTTGCTGGGGGGCACCTGTCCTGAGGCCTAAAACCTGTTATGGGAGGTCTAAAAACCTGGTTGGGGAGCACATTCTGAGGTCTAAAACATGGTTGGGAGGCACCTGTCCTGAAATCTTAAACCTAGTTGGGGGCACCTGCCCTGAGATCCAAGACTTGCTTGGGACACATTACTGGAAGGCCATAATGTCGTTGGTAGACACCTGTTCTAAAGGCCAAAACCTAGTTGGGGGCACCTAAGACCTGGTTGGGTGTACCTAAGACCTGGTTGGGTGTACCTAAGACCTGGTTGGGGGCACCTGTCCTGAAGTCTAAAACTTGGTTAGGGACACATAACTCTAGGGCCATAATCTGGTTGGTAGACATCTGTTCAGAAGGCCAAGACCTTTTTGGGGGCACCTTTCCTGAAGTCTAAAACTTGGTTAGGGGGCACCTACTGTATCAAACAAATATGGAATAGGGGCAATTGCTCTGAGCTCAAAATGTGGTTTAGGGTGCACTTCATTTGTTTTGTGGTTCAAGCCAGGTCGAGGTGGGGACTTGCTCTAAGGTCCCTGGTTGACGAGCCCAATTATCAAAGTGTCTGGGGTTGGTTTTGGATAAAGGGTACTTGTTCTGGGGGTCTTTGTCACCTGCTCATGAGGCCAAACTCTGGGAAAGTGCACTGCATGTCCAGGTATTTAAAAGTAAGACAAAATGTGGAGCTATTAATTTTTTCATTGACATGATGTTAAATGCTTGGATAAAAACCAAAAGCTTTAGATGGCATGTTGCTTGAAATACATCAGATATGCACACCTTAATGAGTGTGAATTTGTGTCTATATAATGATTAAAAAGCATGAACAAAGATTGATATTATTCAGCATATTTATCCAGTTTGGGAAATTTAAGAAATTTGATATTTCAACTTTCACATCAGTCTGTTAACATGCATCAGTATGAGACTTACGTAACTTTGCAATCCGCCCTGCGTGTGACTGTTCAACCGACTGTACACTAATTAATTTCATTCATATGCTGTGTATGTTCTATTTGAGAAAAAAAAAAACTTTCAAAACCTCGTCCCCTTCCCATTTTGCCACAGTTTTGGTTTGGCTTCTGTGTGAGATTGGGAACTAAAATCAAATTACAAAGTTCAGTCTCTGTGCGGTGCAGGCTTTCAGGGGTTTGTTTATATCTAATTTTCACCTCTGAGTATGTATGGTATTTGTGTCATCTACAGGTTGCTGGGTCCTTCCACTGCGGCCGATGTCCTGCAGCTGACCAATACACTGTCTCACAACACGGGTGGTGGACACGCGCGGATTGTGGTACGGGATGACGACTTCAGGGTCATGTCCAGAGATGATGACTTCTTCTTTGAGGAGATATTTCAGGTAGGAAGTGTTTTAGGAAAAAAATGCTATAATTTTATCATCTTTGTCATTTTGATAGAGGTCCACAAGCAGGTTTATCGTAAATGTTTGTGAAATTGGGGGTGAAAATCAAACTATGTCATTTATTTAACCAATCCCTGAGTTGTTATCTTTGAGTTTGTAATTGTGCACTACTAAACATGGTGTAGTTGTTGATTGTTGACACTATACCATACCTGTCTGGTGCTACATCAAATGATTGCTAGGCTATTCCCTCCTGTACAGAACTTAGCCTGCCTGGAGATTATTCACTAGCAAACAAATGTAAGGATGATTCATTGGTCTGAATAAAAATTTCAATAAGACTGGACTTTTCTCCCATTGCCTTAAAATTAGAAGACCTTGACTTTGTGAAGTGTTTATAATTATTATTATTATTATTTAGAATAATCATGTAACAGTTACATTTGAGATAAAATCAAACCGAAAACTCATGAAAACCAAAAGAAAAAATTGCATTGTCACGTCGGATCACTTAATTCACATGTTCTGAAAAATCTACTGATCCAAACAAAATTTTACTGGCTGCAGGCATAGGACCAGTGGCTAATGTATGCAGACTGCTTAATCCCTGCCTCATTTTGATACCTATTCCAGGACCCTTATATGGAGACTGGGGCCGGTTCCAGTGTGTTGACCAGTATCCCCTCAGCACTGACCAGATGGACAGAGGAGTCCAGGGTGCTGGATGGGGACAGCATTAATGATTGTGTCACAGGTATGTTTGATTTATTTGTTACAATTCATTGTAAACAATTGTAATGTGTTTTGATGGTTGGTTTGAAAACAGAATTCTTGATGATTGGAAGGAATTTTTAACAATCTTTAGAAGTTTTGAAAAACCAGTATCACTTTGGTTATTGTAAAAAGTAAAAAAGTTGATGCGAATAACTAAAAATATAGTATATATGAAAGAGTAAAATGCTGGAATATATAAAGTGTTTGAAAATGCTGGTGAATAAAGTGTACTTGAAAAGTAAAGGGAAGAATTCTATTCAATTTATTCTTCTCTGCAGCATTGAAGCCAGACATAGTGTCCACCCTGGAGAAGTACCGTGATGAGGAGCTGGCTGAGAGGAAGGAGAAGAGGAAGAAGGCGGCAGAGGAGGAGGCTGCCAAAAAAGATAAGGACAAACAGGAGAAGACTGGAAAGAAAGATGATGGGAATAAGACCATAGAATGGGGCTCCTCGCCCAGGTTTAGAGTGAGTGTTCATAGGACTTGGATTAGATTGAGTTTATGTGTATATTACCTTGGAAAGTTAGATTGAAAGCAGTGTATATATTGTTCCTACCTTTATGTTGCATCTAACAAGTATGAGCCCATCGCAGTATTTAATTGATTTTATAACAAAAGTGTTTTATTCTTTTTCATTGGTTTAATTAATTTTTATCAAGTGAAGATAATTCAAGAGAAACTTTGTTATGTTTGTTAGAGTTTTGGAGTTATATGGTACTAGACTTGGGGGTATAGTTTTGTTTGTAAGCACTGGCTGATATAATGCCTTGTCTACCACCAGGGTCCACTGACAGCTACAGGCAGTTCCAGCAGCAGCAGTGCCACAGTGACTACAGCTGCTTCCACTACGTCAACAGTTTCCAGTGATACTACACTAACACCCTTATCAACAGCATCAAGTACAACAGTGACAACAGCAGCAGCAACAACTGCAGCAAGTGTATCTTCTTCCACTGACAGCACTCGGTCCACAGGAGGTAAAATATGGCCGATTTTTTTTAGATATCCTCATGTTGCGGATAAGTGAAGCTGGCACACGTTTGGCATATTTTTATAATAGTGACCTAAAGCTTGTTAAAAAGGAATTATAACAAGTTCTAAAGAAACAGGAATGCTATTGAAATAAACAGTTTGTGAAACACTAAAATGAATAAGATGTATAAAGAAAGTTTATATTATATAATGGTGAAGAATAAAGTAACATATTGATCTTTGCAACCTGCATTTAAACATCATATTTCTCTCTCTTCACCAGAAACCTCCACAGCAGAAAGAATAGCCACTGCTATAGTGGAGGAAGTTCTAGGCTCCACTCTACCCACATCCTCTGCCTCGGTTCCCGCCATGACCTCTAGTACAGTAAACCCTCTAGGAGTCAGGATAGACAGCTCAGCAAGTATGTTAACCTTAAGAGATTAGGGACCACTTTCTTCATCTCTTTGATTATTGTTATCAAGTGAAAAGGCTCCATTGATCGCTTAGCTCTATTGTTGAAGCTTTTACAATAAACTGTCTAATAGTAGTGCAACTGATTATCGACCAACTTTTTCTACTTCATGAGCCACTAGCAAGATGACTACTTTTGAATGGGAGGTTTTTCTAAGAGTTGGTGAACCCATTTATATGTGTACTACATACTGGTCTCTATTTATTACATACTGGTCTCGACTCTATGATGAATGAAACCTAAGACAAGCATATGTCTGATCTTCTATGCTGACTTGAGTATGATTCTGAGAGTAGCACAATGTGACACATGAGTGAAATCAATCTCAGGCGTAGATTAATGAAATTTAGGAAACTTCTTGGACATATTTACTTTTCAGAAATTTTGAATGGAAATTATTGCCTTTTCTTATCCCAAAATTTCCCTTGTTATCATTACCAACATGTATTTGTACATCCACCATACAAAATTTGTGTAAATAAATTTGTCTTTAAAAAGAGATTTGTAATTCCAGGTTCTCCATTACTAACAACAGCCCAGGAGTATGCCAGCATCATGTCGGCCCCCCTGCCACAGATGATGCAAACCCCAGCTGTAGGGATGAGGTTGCCCATTGTTACACCAGGGGCTCCAGGACCACAGCAGAGGTATGTCTGCCTCTAAATTTATACTTATAAAATTATAGCAAATTATATTGTATATTTCATGCTAGTCATTCCCTATTTGTATATGTAAAAGAGAAGTAGTGATTTTCATCTTTATGATGTGCACAAAAATGAGTAGGTTTTGAGTAAGGGTGGGTTTTATGAAACTGCCAGAGGATAACATGGAGTGATCTGTATTTTTTTACACTCAATCTAGGGTTGCCCCTGCCACTGACAACTACACCCCACGGGTGGCCCCCCTGATGGAGTCCCCCATGGACACTGTGATGCCCCCAGCAGAAAGCCTAGTCACAGCAGAACAGGCTAGAGCCAACAGACTAATCACAGAGCTTTTGAATGAGGGAGAGTCTGGCATCCAGAGACTAGATCGACTGACAGGACAGGTAACTCAGGGTGGAGGTAGCAGTAGTAGCAACAACAGCAGCAGCCAACCTTCTAGCCAGCAGATACAAGTTTCTCAGAGTATAAGCTCTGCTCTCCAGGCTCTGGGCAGTCTTGGAGCCAGGGTGGCTTCTGGTGGACAGATGACTACTTCTACCAGCAGTAACACAGCATTGACGGTAGAGGGAGCTGTGAGCCAAGAGGGAACTGCCTCAACTGCAAGTTCTAGTGCCTCTTCTGCTACAAGGTGAGATATAATTCTTTACATGTGAGATTTTTTGTTACAATTTAAAAAATAAAGAAAGAAAAATAAAAATGAATAAATATTTAGTAAGTTTAAGAATTGATGACCTCCCGTTTTTCTTGAAACCAGTGAATTAAGGCTGCATATGGATTGACAGCAACATAAAAATCTGAAAGTTGGTAGTAGTAATGTGGAGTAACTCATTTTACACCCTATATTTCAGTAGTGCCTCAGCAGCTCCTATAGCCTCAGCATTACTGGATGATGGGGCCAATTCTCTGGGAAATAATGCTGACCAGTCTACAAACAATGGTAAGGAATCTTGGCATTGAGGATATTTGATTTGGGTTGATTTTATTTTTCTTGATTTAGATTTCAAGTCTAAAAAGGTTGGACATCAATCTTTAAGAGGCAAAAAAATTATTGAAAAAGACACTGAATTTATTTATATCTACATAGATTTTATGGGTTTTCTGTCACATTTCACACTGATTTGTTCACTTTAAACTTATTTGATTATCAGCATATAATTATTAGTCCTTCATTCACTATTTTCAGAGTCGGGTCTTCCCGATGGCGTAGATCCATCTTTCCTGGCAGCCCTGCCAGAGAATATACGTCAGGAAGTGATAGCAGAGCAGCTCCGCCTGCAGCGAATACAGCAGCGTGCCCGAGAACAATCTCAGCAGGCACAGGAGTCTGGAGTGATGGATGTCAGCCCCGAGTTCCTGGCTGCCCTGCCACCCAATATCCAGGAAGAGGTGAGTGTGAACTCTGATATCAGGGTATGCTGTTGCAACTGTCACAGTCTCAGGCCTCTCTCTCTTTCTGCTCAATGGGGGACTTTGGCAAAAGCTTTTCCCCATAATTTTGCCAAGCGCTTGCTTTTAGTGTTCGTGCAAGTCTGCTCTATGTCTGATTTAGAGAGTGGCAAAAAGACCAAAATCATAATAACAAAATAATCTTCACTTAGCTTGGGAGCCGAAATGTTATCTTTTTGTTATGTATAAATTCATTGATTTTGTCACATGTATCTTTTCAACAGATTTTCTTGTCATGTTTATACAGGTGCTAGCACAGCAGAGGGCAGAGCAGGCACGACTCTCAGCACAGGCAGCCAGAGAAAACCCAGAACAACCAGTAGATCCCGCTGGCTTCATCTCCTCTCTACCTACATCCTTACGCCAGCAGGTCTTGGCGGATATGGATGACAGCATGGTGGCCGTGTTACCTGCAGAGCTGGCAGCTGAGGCCCAGGCGTTACGGCGGGAGCTGGAGGATCGCCATCGCCGCATCATGCAGGAGCGTCTCTTTTCTCAGGGTGCAGGATCTTTGTCAGCCATCTTGAGACATTCTGGTAAAGGATAGGGAGAGCTGCTTTGAATGAAATTAGCACAGTTTAACTTCTCAAGAGATTCTAAATGTGCAGATAATGTGTAGTTAATAGTGTAGTATCAGGATCCTACTTAGTACTTGGTGTGTCATACGGCAAAAATATAATGTAGCTGATTTAAATAGAGTTACCTAATGGTGTGTGCTTAAATTTTAGGACTGGCAGGTCGTATAGGTGGGAGGTACCCTATCCAGTCCTCTCGCCCCAGGAACCAGTGGGCCTGGGTGGGTGGTGGACGGCATGGACAGGCCCTCCCCACCAGCTCTGGGAATGCCATCAAGCTTAGGGGGCGCCACCTCCTGGACCACGATGCTCTCACTTGTTTACTAGTATTACTGTTTGTGGACGAGCCAAAACTGAACACAAGTAGACTTCACAGGGTGCTAAGGAATATGTGCTATCACCAGCCCACGCGGACGTGGACGGTAAGGGCACTGTTGTCCATATTGCAAAGGACACACGACTGCAGGATGGACACTGACGAGAGACAGAATGCTGTGGCAGGTAAATCTAGTGAGAAATTGAAAAAGAAATCCAGCCAACAAAGTGGCACGTCGCTCAATGTTAGTGACTCTCCAGGCATTGTCCGGAGTGACTCTATGAGCAGGACTACACAGCCGTCTTGGCTTTCAATCAGTATGGACGCAGCCCTGGGCTGTCGTGCTAACGTCTTCCAAATCCAGCGATTGGGGAAGAAGCACAGTTCTGTTGGAAATGCTAGTGTTCATATTCACCCTCAGGCAGCACCACTTGTGTGCCGACATGTGCTTGACACTCTTATCTCATTGGCTAAAAGTTTCCCAGCACATTTCTTACCTTCTAAAGCAAAAGAGGCATCTTGCGCCAAAGACAGTAGCAAGAGTAAAGAGCAGCAAGAGAAAGATGCCAACAGCAAGGAAGCACACACTAAAACTCCTGTTCAGAGTCTAAGCCAGAACAAACTAGAAAAAGATACAAAACAGGACTTGGATTTCTGGGAAATCTTAGTGAAGCTCGACAACCTCAGTGGCAGCAAGAAAGGAAAAGGGGTCACCAAGTCTCACTTAGCAGGCAGCATGGAAGGGGAGAGAGAGGAGACATCTTTTGACTCATCTCCCATTGGTCAGTTGATGACCATGTTGGCTCACCCGGTGGTGAAGAGCCGGCAAGCATTAATGGACAGGCTGTTGAGGTTGTTAGGTCTGGTAGCAGTGGGTCTGCCTGATATCACAGCACCTGCTACCACAGCAAGCTCTACTACAGCAACTTCTACAACCACCACTACTACTACAACCACAGTGGCATCTACAGCAGGAACTACAACAACAGTAGCAGCAACAACAACAACCACAACGGCATCAGTGACAACATCAGCAGTACCAGTAGTGGCCCCAGCAGTTGAAGTGCCTCCCATTGTGAGAGAAGGAGCCACGGAGCAGTTAGAACAATCCACAGCACTGGTGACAGATCTTAATGAAACCATGGATGTGTCCCATGCTCCAGGTGAGTTGTTTTCTTTCAAGTAATTTTAGTTTTTTTACAACTTGATCAGCGTATGTTTTATGACAGGGGCTGTTTTCACAAAAGAACTTCAGATCAAAAGTTGGTATTAACTTGGGTAGATTTCTACATATTTGTTTTGATATTGTTCATTTTAAATGGCGCCTCTGGTCAACTTTCTGTCTGCACTGACTTGGCAGCACAGGTAGTATCAAGGTGCTATAGAAATATTGAAGGTCAGGCTTAGAAGGCAATGGTTTATACTGTCTTCTATCGGTAAACCTCAAGACAGGTACTGATAATTGATAGAGCTAGAGCTTATGCCAAGGAGACATATCACCAACAAGACAAAGTGATTCTTAAGAAAATGTGCACACATGGTTTAAACTGTGGCACAGGAAGTTTGGCAGAATGTGGGTCATGTATTAAGATGGAATACAAGGTATTGATGGAAGTATGATTTTGCTGTACACTTCCTACTTCCATTTTGGTAGACTTGGAAGACCCAGGTGAACTACAGTGTGCTTACTTAACTTTTTCTTGCAGCTGAGCACATGACATCCACTCCATTACCAGGTCCCCAGGTTCACAAAGAAAAAGCAGTCACAAAACCAGAGGAAAAGAAGGAGGAGCCAGTGGAGCAAAAGGCGGAGCATCCTGTCTTAGAGGCACAGCTTCATTTGGCAGTGCAGGTGAGTGACAAAAGGGGTGGAGCCTCATTTAAGGAGGTTGAAAACTGGAATTTACCGACAGTTCTTATGAGTTATTTTTTGAAAAGATTTTTAGTACACATTTGGAAAATTGAATGAAAGCATATCTGTTCTATGTACAACAAAGTTGCTTTGAATTCTGTGATCAGAAAATGAAATAGTTGGCCTGTGATTTGTATCAGTTGTCTGTGACTGGTATATTTTACCATCTGATGAACACTTTTCCCGAAAATGAGGCTGACACAATTGCTAATAATTACAATCTCAGGTATGAACTGGGAGTCTTAAGAATACGCTGTAAGAGTGTCATTATCAGCTTAAGTCATATCTAGAAATCTTGCACATAGTCCAAGAAATTGGTGCAGAAAAAAGGGTGAATTGTGCGTTTTTTACCTACAAGCATGAAATTTGCCACAGTTGTAGATAATGGAATTCTAAGCTTTTTTGGATATATGGGCATGTCTGAAAATTCCAGTATGGCCGCCAAATCCAATATGGCCGCCACAAATACTCTTTTAAATTAAAACATCTAATATATAGTCCTAAAATGGTTTAGAATATCATTTAAAAGCTGGAAAATATCATGCTATGAATGAATTATCAATATCCGCTTCTACAGGTGTATAGAATTCCAAAATGGCCTCCAAAAGTAAAATAAGCAGTTTACTTACGCAAAATATGCAGCAGTTTTGTAAAATCATCAAGCACTTACAATTACAAGCATAAAAATTGGCACATGTTATGTAGAACATGATTCTAAGCAACGTTGGATATAGGGGCATGTCTGAAAATTCCAATATGGCAGCCAATTTCAATATTG